AATCCTCCTACCTTAGCCTCCCAAGTTGCTGTGAACATGTTTTTGTTTCTCTTAGATAAGTCCTTAAGATTAGAATTGCCTGACCTAAGAGGGAGTGAATGTTTAACTTAATTTAAACAAATTGTCAAATATTTTTCCAAATTGGTTGTATCGTTTTACATTCCTACAAATAGCGCCTGATGGTGCTAGTTTTTCCCACATGCTGGGAAAAATTGATATAGTTAGTCTTTTTATTTTTAGAAAATTTAGTAAAGATGTGCTTTTAATGTTAATTTCCCTGATGACTAATAATATTGAATATTGAGTGTTTTATGTTCTTTGGCAGTGTGTGTGTGTGTGTGTGTGTGTGTGTTTTCTCATTGGTGCAATATCTGAACTTCTTGTCCATTTTTTAATTGAGTTGTTTATCATATTACTGATTTGTAAGAATGTACTAGCCCATTTTTCATTACTATAAGGAAATTCCTGGGGGAGGCTAATTTTATAAGGAAAAGAAGTTGTGTTGGTTCCCAGTTCTGATCCAAGATTCAGGTGCTACATCCAATGATCTTCTTCATGGAAGAGTCCTAAGGCAGTGCAGGCTATCACATGACATGAGATAAGGGGCAAGCATGGGCATCTCCAAAGATTTCTTTCTCTCTCTCTCTCTCTCTCTCTCTCTCTCTCTCTCCCCAACTCCACCAGTATTCAATCATGAACTTGTCTAATCTTATCACTGCCCAAAGTCCCCACCTCCAAGCACTGTAATTACATTGAGTTTTCACCCTCTTAATATCTCAAGATGGGGATTAAATTTAAACACAAGGGCATTTGGAGAACACACATGAGTCATAATCTAAATCATAACAAACAATTTCTTATATGTCCTTGGTATGAGTCCTTTTCCAGATATGTATTCTAAGAATATTTTCTCCAAACTTGAGCTTTGTCTATTTATTTTCTTAATGGTGTTATTTGGTGAGCAGGATTTTTAATTTGATTAAGAATTAATGAATTAATTCTAATTAATGAATTTTTAAATTTTATAATATTACTTTCAATGGCCTAAGAAATATTTGCCTTCTCCAAAGTTGCAAAGTTATTTTCTTCAGTAAGCTTTGTACTTTGTACTTTTTTTTTACTGCCTATGTTCCAGTCTATAATTAATTTTTATGTATATATACTAATTTTTGTGTATGGTATAAATATATAAAAGATTTTGCAGGTACTATGTGTATGGTGTATTTTCCCATAAGGGTATTCAGTTGTCCCTGCCCCCATTCATTAAAAATACTTCTTTCTCCATTGAATTACTTTGGTGCTTTTGTCAAAAACCGATTAAGTACGCAGGTTGAGGTCTATTTCTGAATCTTGTATTCTGGTCCATTTATCTATTTGTCCTTATGTCAATGTCACAGTGTCCCAATTACAATTGTTTTAATGGTAAATGTTGTAGGTATTTATAAACACTATAACTTTGCATTTTTATATTGTAGACTTTTTGTATTGCTATAAAAATTTTAGAATATTTTATGATTTCTACAATAAATGTCTGTCAGGAATGTGTTGAGAATGGGAAAAATTGTTTTTTTTTTTTTTGGTTCTGGAATTAAATCCAAGGGTACCTAACCACTGAGCCACATCCCCAGCCCTCCCCGCTCTTTTTTTATTTTATTCAGAGATAGGGTCTCACTTAGTTGCTCAGGGCCTCTCTAAGTTGCTGACACTGGCTTTGAACACAATCCTCCTGCCTCAGCCTCCTGAGCTGTGGGGATTACAAGTGAGTGTCACTGTACCCAGCCTCAAAATTGGTATCTTAACAATACTGATTGAACACAGTATATCTCTCCATTTGTCTTCCTGGGTTTCTCTCATCTATGTTTTCTAGTCTTCTGCATAGAGGTTTATGCACATTTTTTAATGCAATTTTTGGCTACTTATTTTTTTTAATGCTACTCAGAATGGAATATTTTTCATTTAATTTTCAGTTTTTAGTCCTTTCCAGGGCCTGCTATAACAAAAGACTGCAAGCTGGGAATGATTAAAACAATAGAGATTTATTTTCTCATAGTTTGGGAGTTCAGAAGGCCACGATCGGTATCACTTGGCTGAAACTAAGGTATCAGTAGGGCTGTACTCCCTCTAGAAGCTCTAGGGAGAATTTGTCATTTGCCTTTTCCATCTTCTGGTGGCTGCTGGCATTCCTTGGCTTTTGCTTGCAACCAGTTGCTCCCTGTGCTTTGTATGGCCTTCTTTGTGATTGCATTTGGGGCTACCGGATAACCTAGGAAAATCTCCCTGTCTTAAGATCTTTAGTTTAATAACATCTGCAAAGATCCTTTTTCCAAATAATGTAACATTTACATATTTCAAGGATTAAGACCTGGTGTCTACACAGGTGATATGTAGAAAAAGCATTTTTTATTTTGGTTTTATATTCCAAAAAAAACTCCCTCACTATTTCTTATTATTTTTTATTGATTTCTTATGCAAACTATCATTGAAAAATGTTAGGCTTATACTTTTTCTTGCCTTGCTTCACTGCATATAATACATTTAGTATTAAAAATAGAATCATCAAGCCAGGAACAGTGATGCATGCCTGTGGTCCTAGTTACATGGGAGACTGAAATAGGAGGGCCACATGGGCCCAGGAGTTGGGAGAGCAGCCTGAGTGATGTAGTAAAACCCTATCTCCAAATAAAAACCCTTCCCACCTACGCCTCTCTATATATACATATAACACACACACACAGAGACAATATATATATATATATATATATATATATATGTACACACATATACATATACACACACAAAATCACTAAATAATATTGATTTAATTATCTGCATACAATTCCATATCCATGCACAATTTTGCAATGGTTAATCTGACCCACAGCTTTGACTTTATAAATGCAACTCAAATTTGTATTGCAAGCCTTGCCTTCTAGAATTCCAGAGCTTAATTTATAACTGCCTCGTAGGTTTTTCCACCTACAATAATGCATTAATAACTTAGCGTTAGTCATCAATCCAAAGCCAGCATTAACATCCCCTCCATACCTTCTTTGTATTCTGCTTGTCTATTTCTGTGACTGTCACTAGTACTGTCACTAGTATGATTCACTGATGTTTGAAACTTCAGTCATCCTTGATTCCTTCCCTTAATTCCTGCATTAAGGTTTCCATTGCTTTAAACACTCACAAATATCCTTCAAAATGATCTCTCCCCTCTCCCCACTGTCAGACTTTAGTTCAGACCTTTCACACTTGACCTTCTCAATAGTTCCCTATCTAGTCTTGGTGACTTTCAATCTCCTTCTTTACAAATTCATTGTTTTCTGTTTTTCCAGAATGATCTTTCTTAAGCCCACTATGTTCCTATCTCTCTAACAGATCCTGCCTTTAATCTTTCTTGGTCTTCAGCATGTACTACTTGACATTGTTATTATATTTTTACATATGTATATCTCTCTAACCAGACCACGGTTAGTAGAGGACAGGAACTATATTCTACTCTTCTATATGCACAGACCAAGTTTATAGTAAGTGGTTAATAAATGTCGATGAACATTATAACGTGCTTTTCTGAGCCCTGGAGAGAGTTTGATAATGATGATGGTGCAAATATATGTTATTTCAGCTGTTTATTTTTCCAGGAAATCACAGAGAAAGAGTGCAGTATCAGGGAACATAGATAAGTTTGATGGAGAACTTGGGGAAAAAAACTTGTAAAAACTTAAATACATATTTTATGGTAACAAATGCAAACACTTAAGTTTCCATTAACATCTCTTTAGCTTCCTTTCTGAAGATTTGTAATTTATTGGTTAACTCTGAAAACTGTTGTCTTGCATGTCAAGATAAATGCTTTGAGAATTTTAGCTGGTGGATTGCTTAATTCCAAGCTGAAATTGAGAATTCAGTGTAAAATAGTAAAACTATTTCATGACTCCTAGGTCTGGAGGGTTTATGCTTGATAAGATTATGCATGGATGAATCTGGATTTATGACTCTGACAATTAAAGGGAAAGAAATTTTCTTTATATGTTTTGTGTACATGAACGGGTGAGGGGAATTTGCCCTTGAAATGAAGACAGGGCAGAAAACCCTTTAATTTGAAGCCTGGTTAATTTCACGAATTGGCTTCATAATCCTTCACAGGATACTTTCTCATAAAATATAAACTTTCAAAGAGCAAGGGACTTAAATTACCTAGGAAGAGAAAGTAGATAAAGGAAGGGAATCAGAATGTCCAAGATCCTGGACTTTCCAACATTAAGAAATTTGTTAGAGAATTTAGACAGCAAAAGGAGACTAGTAATTAGCTGCTCTTGGAGGAAAAAGAGAATATGGTGTCCTGAAAGCCCAAACAGAAATGCAGGTTAACTATAGAGTGCTCAGCTGATGTTGCTCCAAAGTAACTAAGCACTAACAATATGGAACTGTTGGAGACATTGACAAGGGCCATTTCAACAAATTAGTGGGATTAGAATTCAGGTGAAAGCCAGCTAGATAATAAATGAACAAAGACATTTTTGATGCCTTTTTTAAAACACACACTCTTATTTCAAACCTAGAGCTGGCCTAATGACCTGAGTCCCCTTCAAATCTCAGAGATTCTAATTCACTTAATTTATTCATGATTCCTCCTCAAGCTTCCAAAGATTGTTTCAAGGATATGAAAGTGCTTTTAAACAAAGAAGGGCTACAAAAGTAGGGCGAAGGGGCAATTGTTAATTTTTATTATTCTATTCAATTACTCTATCGTATTCATTTTGTAGTCTCTGGGCTCCTTTATTTTTCCTTAATACCCAACACTTACTAATTGGTTGCCACAGTGAGCATTTACCAACACGGATTTCACGCCCTTTACCACGCCCCACTCTCGTTCCCTCTCCAAGCCTTTCAACCCAGAAAGTACAAGGGCAGGGCGGGGGTGTGGGGAGAGGCGGAGTACAGGGCTCCCGCCTACAGACTGTGGGCGCATGCGTCAGGCCCCGCGGACTGTTCGTGCTGCTTCCCTAGGATGGGCGGAGTGGTGGTTTCAGTGACGGACTGAATACGGGTGCCGGGTAGGCTCTTACGGAAGTCCATGCGCCATTGGGAGGGCCTCAGCGGCTTCTCTGTGCCCTTGTTACCGAGGCCTCTTCCTGGGTCATTCTTAGATCAAGAGCCGCACTGGGGCTGACACGGGGGCTCCCGCGAGGCCGTCTCGGCGCTTGGGTGACCTCTACGCCGGAGAGATGTGGCGAATGCGTCGGGTCGCTGTGGCCTGGTAAGTGCGGGCTCCAACCTGGCCCCGGTATTTCAGGGCCAGGATTGTCCCATTACTACGTTCAGAATGTGCAGATAACGCCTTGTTCAAGCCGAGGGCGGTTGGGGAATTCTCGGATATTTTTGAGGACCCGAGTTACAGGAGTTCTGACTAGGCTTATCTGCGGAGCTGGCTGGCTTCGGTTTCGACCATCGTCCCTGACCAGCTTGAAGACTCAGGACGCCTGTCTTGGCCCTTCTCTGTTGTCCTTTTGTCGCTGTCCTTTACACCTTTGTGACCTCGCTGTTATCTCTGCCTTCACTTGTTTCTTGTTTTACAAATTCTCTCCACGTCTGTTCTGGCTTTGTCCATGTATGGCCTTCTGTGCGCTTCCCCTAATTGCCTTTGCTTCAATCTCCATGCCATGTGTACATTTACACCTGTAAGTCTTTAGGCTTTTCTGCAGGGCGAAGGGGCCTCTGCCTGTTTGCCTAACCCTTTTTTGGGAGTCAGATCTAGAACAGTGACGCACATGGTGTCAGAGATGGTATGTATAGATGCCATGTTCGAAGAAGCATTTTCACAGTGTTTAAGGAAGAGACTTGAGACTTGCATTTTGAAGCAAAAGAAGCGAATGTTGCACCACCTTTCAAATTATACAGTCATTGTTGTTCTGGCCTGTTTTACTCCTACATAGGAAATCATAGAAATCTTTTCATTTTTGTGGATTACTGTATGCATTCTAAGCATATTAATTGATTTTATCTTTTTATATAATTTGTTCTAATAACCTTAGATAACTTTCATACTTAACTCATTGTTGAAGGCATTTAATAGGAAGGAATATTGAAGGCATTTAATAGGAAGGAATATGCATCAAGCAAGATTGAAAATAAAATATTAGTTTTCCATTTCTAAAAGAACCTCTAAACACCGGCCTTGAGTTTTTCTCAAAACTTTTTTAATGGTGTAGATAATTTACAGTGTTTATAAGGAATACAATCCATTCGTTTTTTGAAAGTTAACTGAAGTGCAAATGCAGAACTTACAGTGTTAGTCAATTAGAATAATTGCATAGTTATTTTTAATCCTATAGAATTTAATTTTTGAGTAAATTCACAGTCCTTGGCACCGAAGTAAGTTATTTGCACACTTCGTATTTCTACTTCTCATTATTTAATGGGGAAACATCTATTTAAATAAAAAAGAAGAGACTGAAAAACACAGCATACTCTGGAGCAATTAAGATGTGTAGGAAAAATTTTCAAAATTGAATTTAAAGACAAACTAATTTATAACTGGTACTATTTGCTTTATTCAACTGGGTGTTGTTGGACTAAGTTGTTTCTAAAGTTATTATGGATGCCATAGAGTCTTGGCTTAAAAATGTCCTGTGATGACAGCACATTTTAGCTACCAGAAGAAATGGAGCTGTGGAAAGTCAGAAAACTTAAACTGTGGAATTTGTCTTTTGCTAATAGTTCCTTTGCATATTATGAAGGAATACAGTTAAATTCCTACTCTTTAACAGGTGGGAACCTAAACATTTTTGACATACATATATAAACACATGCTCATGGACTTGTGAGAAGACCAATGACCACCATTTATTTGGGTGCAATACTTATGAAAAATTAATGAAAACTATATATTTGCAATTGTTGTCTTAAAAGAGATGTTAGATAGGCAAGAAAGTAGATGACTTCTTGGAATAGGGAGTCTATTTTGCATCACTTTTGATTTTTAGTTTTGTTTGCATATAGCAGTCTCTTTATTCCTTCATGGAAGTTTTTAGGATCTCCACTTTATACTCTCAAATTTCTCAGGGCTTTTGTTCAGATATAGGTTTCCTTTTTCACCACCAACTGGCTTGGCACTCAATGGGCCTTTTTGTGAAATAGACCATTATCTTCCTTCGGTTTTGGGAAATTTTTTCCTTATTTTCTTTCTTTCTTTTTTTCCTGTTCTTTTCTTTCTAGGCACTTTTAAAATGACTATTAGTCCTCTTAAGTTGATCCTGTGTGTCCATGATTTCCAAATTATGGTCTGTATCCTTTATCTGTTAAAAAAAAAATGCAGGTACTCTAATATGTGGATGTACACTACACATTCATCTTTATGTATGTGTGTGTCTCTACATTATATATATATATATCTTTACATTATAAATTGATCTTATCTTGAAGGATAGTATACAAAAAAGACTGCAGCCAGAAGCTTTGATACTTTCTTCCAGAACCTAGGGATGCTTTCACCCTATCCTCTCACCCTCTTTGCATATCTCTTCTTTATATCACTTAGTTTTTCTCTAGTAGTTTTCCTGATTTTTTTTTCTTTATTCAACATTTTAGGGGATTTCCTTAATTTATTTTCCATTATTGGTTTTGATTTTTTAAAAATATATTGGCCATTGCAACTTTAATCTCCACGAACTACCTTTTTAGTATTTAAGCTCCTTTTGACTCTTAAAAGCATGTTTAATTCAGTAAGCTTTCTGTTGTTCTTTGCTATTTTTAAAAAATAGTTTTTGAGTAACAAGATTCTCTTATTTATGTCTGTAATATTTTCACAGATCTTCCTGAAAATCCTAATAAGGATTTCATATCTGTTCTTTTTCCAGGATTAATAATGACATCTTAGTCCTCATCTTAAGAGTTGCTTGTTTTCTAGAGTCTGTTACCTAAATTATATTTAAACCTGATGGGCTAATAGTTGGTATAGATGCCAGTGCAGGATACCTGTGAATGAGAGAGCTTTGAAAAAACTGTTTTAGATACCTGATATATCAACTTGCAGGCTTCATTTTAGGGAGTAAAGGGGTGGCCTGAACTTGTTACATATACTAATACTATTAGAGGCTCACTCTGGGAAGTTCCCACATACATGCATGCACGGACTTAGCTCTTCCCTTCTTTGACAGATTCTTAGCCTTGGGGCAACTAGTGTAGCTAACATTTGGCTGGATTGGAATGGACTAGAGGGTGACCCATACATCCCTCTCCACAGTTAGTGCTTCAGTAAATCTCAGTTGCTTCTCTTTTTTTCCCACCTGTGTCTCAAGAGAATCTTGTTGTAAAAAGCAATCCCCTGGGGCTGGAGATGTGGCTCAGTGGACTCGCTCGCCTGGCATGCGTGCGGCCCGAGTTCAATCCTCAGCACCACATACCAACAAAGATGTTGTGTCCGCCGAGAACTAAAAAATAAATATTAAAAATTCTCTCTCTCTCTCCTCTCTCACTCTCTCTTTAAAAAAAAAAAAGCAATCCCCTCCTGTATGAACATTTATCTTTTAAATTGGAAGCTCTAGAAGTAATTCTTGAGGTTGTCTTTTTAAGTATTAGGATTTGCATAAAGTCTGTTATCTCTTCCAGAGAACTAATTGATGAACATTTCATTTGTAATTACTGAACTGAAATACTTGAATACTTTATCCCTGTCCCTGTCTCTCACCCATAGTTATTATTGCCATCATTGTCGAAATAGAAATTTTAGAAATTTGTGAGAAAATAATGAAAAGCAAAAACATCCTAGGTATGAACTCAGTACTGGAATTCATCTAGTTGGGTATATATTTGGATTAACTCTTTTATAAGAAATGCAAATGACTTTTCAAAGGTTAAGGAGTTATACAGTAGTGAAGTTTAGTGCAAATTATGTTGAAGTGATGTTATTGAGCACTTACTCTGCTAGCATTTGCTAGGTTCTTTGGCCTATTTTTTGTAATTTAATTACTCCAATAACCTGTGTTCATGCAGCAGGTTATTGAGTGTCTATCATTTGTGAGGCAGTGCAGACCATAGAAATATAGTGGTAAACAGCCAAGAGGCTGTTTCTGGTAGATTTTAGTTTACTGGTAGAGACCAATATTAATCCAATAACTACATTATTATGTAATACACGTTTTATGAATGCTATGAAGGAAAAGTACAGAGAACTGAGAGCTCTAGCAGGGGGACTCACATTATAATGAAGGCTCAGGGGAAGGGAGGGAATGCTGGAKGTGAAACTGTGATCAGTAAGTAGCAAGAGTCAAGTAGATAGCGGGTCTCATGGTCAAGGTGGGAAGGAGAATGGCACATTGAAGAATTAGATGAAAATTAGTCTGGGTGGAACTTTGAGGCAAGTGAATGAGACAGAGACCATACTATGGAGAGCATTATAGACCAGCAGTTTGGATTTTATTCTAAATGCAGAGGATCTATTTAAAAGATGGGTGCAGGTGTATGATAATGATCAGATTTGAGTTCTGGAGAGTGCTTTGGTAATGGTAAGGATAAAAGTATGTATCAAAAAGGGATCCTCAACTCTGGCTAATTAAGTAGATGGCTGCTTATACCATTTTCAGAGATAGGAAATACTGTAGAAGTGTCAGGATTTAGGATGGGAGAGATGTCAATGTCCAAGATTTTGGACATATTGAATTTAAGGTACCTTTTTGATCCCTAAGTGGTGACATTGAGTAGGCAATTCTATACAAGCGACCAGAACTTACCTATTTGTATTAGACAGAAACTTGAGAAACATGAGTATGTGATGGTAATTGAGAAAGTGGATGTAGATAGGATTGCCTAGGGAAAGTTAAAAGAGAAGTAGGTTGGATACAAGACTTAAACAAACTCCTAGCATTTAAAAGGTAGTTGAGGAAGAGACTGAAAAGGAGTGGCCAGTTAGATAGGGGTAAAATGAGAGACTGCCAAGTAACAGGAAGTTCCAACAATGAGGAAGTGTCAAGATTGTCTCACAATGCTGAGAAAACTAGGAAAAAATGCCCATTGGAAGTCTTGGTGTCCTAAGTAAGAGTTGTTTTATTGAATGGTAGAAGTGAAAACCGGGTTGTTTTAGTTTTTAATAAAGTAGTTTGGTTTAGAAGGTTTTGATTTCCTCATTAAGATGAGAGAAACTGAAAGGATAGGGCAAGAATACCTTTTAGGGATTTACCTTCAATGGGAAGAGGAGCACTTGATGTAATCTAACATGGGGAGAAGAGGATGGTGTAGATGCAGTGGGTACAACTGAAATGAGGCCACTTCTTCACTTCCCTCCTGATACACTTTTAACTAACAGTTATCATACTTTCTTTATTTACTGTCTAGACTAATTCTTCTCAGAAACTTAACTCTTGTACAATTTAACTATGCCTTTGATTTGAAGGATTTGTTTTGTCTTTAATTTTTATAGTTAATGATTATTGGGGTAGAAACAATATGAAGCTAAGATGAGGTTTTGCTTAATAGATATGCAGAGTCTAATGTCAGAAGAATTTAATCTCTTGATTGATAAAAGAAGACAGGGACTTATGTTTATAAGACAGTGGAAATTATGATTTATTTTGAGACAGAGCTTTTTTATTTTTTAAAATACAAAATGATTGCCAACTTTTATAAAGAAAGTTTTTTTTGTGATCAGAAGTAACAATTACATGTATAATTACAAATAAACAGTGTGCCTGATCTGGCAATATGTATTTTCTCCTACTATTAAACTCTATTTTTCCTCAATTTTTCTGAGTTTGAGATTTCCTATAGAATCTTGAATCAGAGCAAGACTCTGTCATCCTGATAGTTTCAGAGGTGGTAGCAAATACTTCAAAATGTCACTGCCTTGGTTACACATGAGTGATTTATCTTAAAAGAGTGCTTTAGCATACACCATAGGCTATGAAAATTAGGCTCAACTTATTCCTGGTTGGATATGTTAGCATTACAGTAAAATAGAGGTCATTTTCTGGTCACTGTTGCATTCTCTTAAGGTTATTTGTGATATAGGTTAGCCATGGCCTGTGGGTCACTAATAAACACATCTCAATTTCCCAGATTATATATTTTTTTAATTTGAATTTTTTATTATTTATTCTAATTTGTTACACATGATGGCAGAATGCAATTCATTTCATATTACACATATAGAGAACAATTTTTCAAGTCACTGATTGTACACAAAGTATTTTCGCACCATTCGTGTCTTTATACATGTACTTAGGGTAATGATATCTAACTCATTCCACCATCATTCCTACCCTCTTGCTCCCTCCCTTCCCCTCCCACCCCTTTGCCCTATCTAAAGTTCCTCCATTCCTCCTATGCTCCCCCTCCATCGCCATTATGCATTCAGGTAGATGCCTGACTTGCAAGGCTGAACCTGATTCATTTGACAACACCAGGTAACTCCCAAAACCACCCTGATCTGAAGGACTAGGTCTCCGTCCCTGGGTACAAAGAGGAACCAGTGGAGGCACTCATTCTCTCTCACAAGGACAATACTATAATCTTCAACCATAGAGAAAAATAAAACTCATTTCCATATAATGGTGAAACACATATTTTTAATGATTCTGAGCTAAAGTGTACCAATACCTAAATGTAATGACATTTCCTTCCTGAAAATTCATACCACACCCTAATAAATTTACATGTTCTCCCCCCACCAAAAAAAAATGTTATCGCAGCCTCCTATCTGGAGCTACACCATTTATGCTTCTACTGCTTTTCACATTCTTGCTTACCAGTGTCTGTTGTGGAAAGAATTTGGGCTTTATTGTCGGGCTGTACCTACTTTCAATCCTTTTCCACCATTTACTACTCATTCTACCTTAAGCAAGACATAGTTTTAAAAAGCAAATTTGTGAAAGAAGATACTTGGCTTACTGGGTTTTTCTAAGAGTTACCCAGCAGTAAGTATTATTTGTAAAAATGACTGGCATGGTGGCGCAGGCCTGTTATCCCAGTGGCTGGGGAAGCTGAGACAGGAGGATGGTGAGTTCAAAACCAGCCTCAGTAACGTTGCAAGGCACTATTCAACTCAGTGAGACTCTGTCTCTAAGTAAAATACTAAAAAGGGCTGGAGATGTGGCTCAGTGGTCAAGTGCCCCTGAGTTCAATCCCTGATATCCGAAACAGGGATGGGGGGGTGGGATGACTGGCATCTGGCATGATGTCTGGCACTTAGGAAGGAGAGATTCCACTTTCTATTATCCTTTACAACATTGTTTTTATGTTCCATAATTTCTTTTTCTTGAGAAGTTTCAAATTCCATGTAGTTAAATGAATTAATATTTTAAAGCTACTTAAAATTGGGCTCGGATCATTTGTAAGCAACTATGAATGTGTGTTAAGTTTAGGCATGTGGTTCTTGTTGGTAGCCTTTCATTCTCTTCTGGATGGAGAGTAGGGTAGAACTCACATAGTTAACATGTACATGTAGCTTCTGTTCTCTTTTGGAGATTCAGGTGGCTTTTTTGCTACTTTCGTTTTTCTGGGGGCCAGGTTCCTAGGTGGGATTGAATAATTTTTTAAAATATCCATCCCTGGGCTATTTTAGAATTGGGAGACGTAGATAAAAGAATAACTTTTTTAAACTGCCACAGTTTTTGTGCTTAAAAGCAAAACTTTGCATGCATTTTTGTTTTCAACAAAATAGATATCAACATAAATAAATATCAACATAAATAAATAAATATCAACAGTTGTATGACTCGTTGCAGTTGGTCACATGTGCATGTGTATCTTCTTTAGAATATTGCTTAGTTATATTATTTCCTTTGTGCCATTACCACCCCTGTACTTTTTTGTTTCAGTGAAGTCTGCCAATCCTTGGTGAAACATAACTCTGGAATAAAAGGAAGCTTACCACTCCAAAAACTGCATCTGGTTTCACGAAGTATTTATTGTTCACATCATCCTACCTTAAAGCTTCAAAGACCCCAATTAAGGACATCATTTCAACAGTTCTCTTCTCTGACAAACCTTCCTTTACGTAAATTGAAACTTTCTCCAATTAAATATGGCTACCAGCCCTGCAGGAATTTTTGGCCAGCACGGTTAGCTGCAAGGCTCTTAAAACTTCGATATCTTATACTGGGATCTGCTGTTGGGGGTGGCTATACAGCTAAAAAGGTAAGTTTAACTTTCCTACTGGTTTTCCAATTATTCCAGTATGATTATTTTGAATTTTTGTAGTTTTAAGTCATTTTTTTTTAGTGTAGTTAAGTGTAATTGATGTAAACATTTATTGTGTGTCTTTACTATGTAACAGGTTGTTTTAATGATGCTAAAAGGAATGTACCTTCTGAATCTTAGTTATAATTATAGGAGATAAAAAGGCCTAGAGGAAGGTCCCTGAGCTGAGAGTGAGAAATATAGGTTTCATATTGAGCCTAGATGGGAAAGTTAGGTAGCTTGCTCACAGGGCCACTTCTTGGCAGCTCTGGGTTCAGAGAGAAGGTGTCCAGTCTCCTGATATATCTTCCTGCTGCTCTCCATGGTGTTGTTTAATGCCAATATGAAATCAGCTTAAAATAGTTACATATTTCGAATTTTTTATTTTCTATATTTGGTAGAGGAGTATTTACATGTTTTGTATGCTTGCCTTCTGATTTGTTTATAGAAGAGCTAAAGCCATGTAAATTTGTTTCTCAAAGCTTAGTACATTATACAATACATTGGTCTTTGTAGATTTATGTGTTTTAATTGAAATAACTGTTCTTTACATTTTTTATATGGTATTTAAAATATCTGATTAACATGCTTTCTTATCTTTTAGACTTTTGATCAGTGGAAAGATATGATACCAGACCTTAGCGATTATAAATGGATTGTGCCTGACATTGTATGGGAAATTGATGAGTATATTGATATTGGTTCGTATCATTAACATTAAAATATTTTTTATGGTTATTTCTTTAGGAAAGAGAAATAGTTTATTGAGGTAGTTTCTTAAGTTTTGAGTCTTAATATGTAGTAGTTTTCTTTTAACAATAAAAGTAATAGAATATCAAAGAAAAAAGTTGTATGAAAAAGTATTTAGTAGTCCATCACTTCAACACAACTGCCACCATCCTTATAGAAAACATTTTCTTTTAACTCTACTTCTTTGTATGTGGTTAGAATTTTAGTTTCTTTTAAAAAATTATATAGTCATAAGGACATGTACTTTTTGTTTTTGCTACTTAACACATTTTGTCAGCATTTCCATTCTGCCACATAACTTTTCTGCTTTTAGCCATGTTCCTTAAAAGTCTGTCAGTATTCAGAATGATTTCTCCTCCTAATCAGATACTGCCTCTCCCCTTTTTAATAAGTAGACGAGAAAAAAATATATTTAGCAGCTATTATCAGTAACTCATGGTGATTTAAAAAATATTTTTATTGAATTCTTTTCCTCAGTTTCTTTTTAAGACATTTGTCATAATTTCTTAGTTGTAAATGGAGTTGGAATTTTAATCTCTGTAAGCACTCGTTCACAGCACTTCTTAAAAATAAAACTGTAATATGTTGACTAGGCATTTTTGGTAAAGCACACTTTCAAATTGTTTTTCTAATATTCATGGGGGTACTTTTCAACATAATACATTTGCTACTCCCATAATACATTGGCCAGAGAACCTATATTCTGAAGCAAACCTGCCTGGGCTTGAACCCAGGCTCCCCTACTTCCTTGTTGTATGCCCGGTTATCTCATCTGTAAATGGAGTTGAAAATAGTAGCAATTTTGTAGAGTTCCTTTGAGAATTAAGAAAATTAATACTTTTATAGCCCTTAGATTAATAGCTGTCATATTCTTGAGACAGTTGATGACTATTTATGTATTTTGGTTTTCTTCAGAGAAAATTAGAAAAGCCCTTCCTAATTCAGAAGACCTTGCAAAGTTAGCACCAGACATTGACAAGATTGTTGAAAGCCTCAGCTTATTGAAGGACTTTTTCACCACAGGTAACAAAGGACCTGTTTGATCTAATTTAGAGATTTAAGAACTACAGAGAAAAATGAATACATATATTTGCATATTTCCATCTTTTAAATTAAAATATTTAGTAAGTTTTCTGAAAATGGTAAACTTCCTTCTAAATTTTGTTATACAGTGGTTTGAATGTTTTTCTAGCTCAATAAACTGAAAATTTATGCTTGACTTTTAGTAAGTGAGGGAAAAACATAGCACCACTTCTTGACAAGTAGATGAGACTTCCTATGTATTTGCTTTTCATAATTGGTTAAAGCCAATATGGTGATTTTAAAACAAAATTTAATTTCACAGGCCATAACAAGTAGAATTTATAAGGCCAATCCTGGCATATTTGCCCAATTACTACCCTATTGTGATATAAATCTGAGATCTCAGACACCTTTGTTTGCCATTCCTATTAAATTTTACATTTTTATTTCCCCTTCTGCTAATTTTTCACAGGTCACAAATTGGTTAGTGAAGTCATAGAAGCTTCTGACCTACTTCTCTTGTTAGGTGTGTAAAAAGACATTTTTGCTGACCTTAACATGCCTTTTAAATGCTTCTAATAAACTAGTTGCAAATAAAGTTGCGGACCAAAATTATAATGCTGCTTATGCTGAATTTTAAAACCCCAGAAATATATTAAGCAAACTCATTATCCTTTAGGTGCAGAGAATAAAATAATTATTTTGCAATAAAACTAAAATTCCTAAATATGTATGTATAAGATTAAACCTATTAAAATTTGCTTAGCCAAAATATTTTCTTGAAACATATAATTATTTTTGATAATTAAAATGAAAAGTAATTTTAGTTTGTCTCATCTGCCCTGTCATGGTTGACATATTAAATTTGTTTTTGTATTATATACTTGGCTTGATGACAGTGGTATTTGTCTGAACTGTAAGTACTCTCATGTAAAATAATCTTTACCAAAGATTTTATTATTTTTTTTATTATAATTTTTAGCCAAATAGTTTTTAAATAAGTTAAATATGTGCTGTGATTTTTAGAAGTATTCTATATGAAAATAAAAGTGATTTGATGCTTTGACTCTGAGTTGCTCTAAAATCAATTTACTTTTTAATTAATGAGACATAGTTTGGAATTTAGCTTAGGCTATGAATTGAAAGGATTGCATATTTAAAGGATTTAAAGGATTGCATATTTTTAAGGTTCACCTGGAGAAACGGCATTTAGAGCAACAGATCGTGGATCTGAAAGTGACAAGCATTATAGAAAGGTAAGTATAAAACAGAATTCTTCTTATAGGTAGTCTTGAAAGATTTTTAAAGTATTTACCATTTGGAAGATTTGAAAGTAGCAGCATGAGAGGAGCAAATACAAAATTACCTAAATAGATGTACTTTTACTAATCTTAGTGCAAAAATGTTATATGGTGGTTCTGGAAATATTAGACAAGCCCATTTTCTTCAAATATATTCTCTGAAATAATAATTCAAGGGTTGGCTCCAAGAAAAAGTTTTGTTGTTAAATACATGTGGTGAAAGCCAGTCTAGATAAAGCAAGATGATTTCCTTTCCTCAGGACTCCACAGACCTTAATATATTCATGAGCATTGTGGACCTACAAGAGGAATCAAATTATACAGGATTTTCTGAATTTATTTATTAATCTTCTTTCTCATGAAAATCTTCAGGAGACTAAATTTTACAAAGGGGAGGATATTGAATAGAGTAAGAAATTAGAGTCCACAAAACTATGTGGGGGGTTATTTGAAGTTTGTTGATTTCAGTACATTCCTTTAGCAAAATCCATATTAAAGCTATAGGAGAATTGCATATAATGTTATAAAATTGCTAAATTAGAATAACATGTGTAACTGTTTACAATTATATGTTTATTGGACATTTTCTTAGTCTTTATTTCTTTTATCCTTTGGGAATGGGTAAAATAATTGATTATGCAAAAAATTTTGGAAAAATAATATGTAGATAAATAGATTCATGGAAAAATATTCTGAACATTTTAAAATTGAATATGGAATATATATGTTTTATGCTGAGTTTTAATAATAGGAAATAATTTTATGTTTATTTGGGGTAAAGGAAGAAGAAATGATTCCTGTGTGTAGGTTTCCGTCTCCTTCCCTCTCTTTAAATTTTGAACATTTTATGTAATGGTCCAGATTTTAATTATATGTCAAGATTTATTTCTTTCATTTTTTAACTTTATCTTTTGGATAAAGTATATTTCAGAATGTGTATGTATTTGCTTCTGATTTAATCTTTTTTGATACACTGTACTTAAATAATTTTAACCAAATAGTACTCTTAACTATTGGTAAGGTGCAGCTTATTTTGAGCCAAGGCCTTGGTTCTTGAGGCAAGTAAACAATAAATGAATTAATCTACTTATCTATAAGTGGGGAGAAAGCACCTTTGTTAGAATGATGGTGTGGGTTTTTATTTTTTTTTGAGTGACAATGTTTCTTTTTGCCTAAATCAGTTAGAGGAGGTATGCATGTCTGCTTTCTTTCTGATATGACCTAGGATTACTTTGGTGATAGAAGAACTTATCTTGGGATTATTCCTCTAAAACTGCCAAGTTGATAAATGAATAATCAATAATTAACTGGGAGCTCTGCAGTAGAGATAAAGCAAAAGAATGTGTTTGGGATAATATATTTACAGATTTTACTTTATACAGTAGACATGCAAGTAAATTTATTGCAAGTAAATTTATTGCTTTATTTTATAAATTATTTTGAAAATAAATGCTTGTTTGAAGATAAATGCCCTTGTAGACTGTTTCCTTTTAACTTTTTTATAATTTATGGTCATTATTTTGCCCAGTAAAATCTCACCAGGTATTTCTACTCAAACATTTTTTGTAAACACTGAATCTAGATTGTAATTAAGCTGCTTTTGTTACCAATTAAATTAAATTATAGTAAATATTAAAAATTTATATGTGGAAAAAACTACCTCCAGTCTCAGCTGATGTCTCTAAAGATTGACTGTTGCCTATAATGCTTGAGAATAATGAACTACTCAGACATGATACAGATAAATTGATCTGATTTTAAGAGAATTCCCTACAATTGATGATTGATTACAGTCAAGCAAGAAGAGACCTTTGCATAGCAGTAGCCTTTTTGAAACAACAGAGACATGAAGTTTGAAAATCTGGATGATAATCAGAAATATTAGGGTGGCATCCAGAGGTTAACTGATAACCTTTTCAATTGGTTCAGTCTGATGTCTGAGAACCCAAGATTTAAAATAGTATTTTAAAGTAGGGTTTGAAGCAGTCACACTTCAGTTAAATGTTGTCAGGTTTGAAACAGTTTCTGGCTGGACTTCTATGGAAAATGTTTTTACAACTAGAACTAAAATAAAGATTTGTCCTTTCTAATAGGAGACCACATTCAGAAAAGTCCTGGCAAGTAAATGAACAATTAGAACCATTCAAAGTCAACCGAAGTGAAAATGATGGGAGTGGAAGGAAATACAGATGTCAGATAATTTGACTTGAGTCAGACAGAAGGAACAACATGATGAACTGATTACCTCTGGTTTCTAATCTAGGCTCACTAGACTCAGGTGTTTGGGAAAGTTGTTAGAGAGGTCTTCAAAAATTCTACGGAAAGAATATATTCCCCCAGAATGCCGAACAGGCTAAGTAATCATCAAGATTCTTTGGTTTACCTGGATTTATATCCATTTAGTTTGCAGATATTAGTTATTTATGCTATGTTGATTGAAATTTCTGATGTGTATCTTTGATTAATAAAACATTGAAAAATAGTAAAGTCACTTTGTTTAACCTAACTAAGCCATTTTATTGAGGTATGTTTGGCATACAGTAAAATCACTTTTTAATAAATACTTTTTGTTAAGTTTAATACTTGTGTCTTCTAGAGGAAAATATTAGAAATCACCCTTATAAACTGAATAATATTCTTGAGACCCAGAGAACTTAAAAATTACTTCAAGACAATTTCGGAATTGGACTGATGGCCTTTTTTTTTTTTTTTTTTTAATTAATGGAATCATTGAAATCTGCATATTAGTCATATATATAAGTAGTAAGACCATTAGTGTATCTTCTTTATTAGATTCTTTAACACTATCATGTTCTAGTGAAAATTAATTTGTTAAAAGAGACATTTTGTTTTCTGCTTTTGTTCTATCATGTTTCTATTTGGTCATAAACATCTCACAGAAGTAAGTAATATGTCCATTCTGAAGGTAACAAGCATATTTGTGATTCACAGAAAATATTTGAAGGACTTTTTAAAGGCCCAGATCACGAAAAGTAGTAATATTATTTTCAGTGTAATTATTAAATGATAATACATTAATATTGTTCCAACATCTTACTCTAATTTTTATTTTTATGGTTTGTTTTATCTTCCAACTGAAATATCTCCTTTCTTTTTTTTAACCTGCCTAATTTCTGTTTGTGCTTATTGTCCCCTTCATGAATTCTTAAATAATCATTTTAATTTCTTCAGTTATCCTCTCCTCAATGTTTAGAATACTTGCCATATGAAATACTATTTACTTTGGCTTGAATTCTTACTGTTTAATGGACCATTTCTGTCACTAAATCTCTGTCCTCAGAGAATCAGGATAGTGTTGACCTCTTAGCAAAATTAATTAATTGCTTTAACTTAGTAGAAGAGAGGCTGATATAAAGTAGATACATTTGTTTGATGTTAACAAAGGTGGGCCCAAAGATTTTTTTGCTCTGGTTACTGTGTGTTAGCTATAAAAGCACTTAATGTATTTATATTCTGAATTGTAGTAATGTTGCTTACATAGGGTTTGCATTTCTGGGATTCCTCATACAACAGATAATGTAGAATTTGTTGCAAAATTAAATTCTCACAACTATCACTATCAAGTAACCATGGAATTGAGAAATTCTTAAGTTTTCTGAACAACTATCCTTGGTTAAATTCACAGGCAGAATCCCAAACTGCTTGCATCCTGGAGCATAGTATATGAGAAACTGAGGGATCAAAGGAAGAAAAGCAGCAATAAATGTTTTTATTTGATATGTACATATATATGTATATAATACTGTTTTTATGTAACTATTTAGAACAAAGGGAATTTAGTAGATGTTGTAATACTGATAATTTCTGGCAATAGCTCTCTTGTTTTTCTCTTAAAAGAAATTGTCCAAAAAGTAAAGTAGAATATGATATTTCTTGATTGGAGCAATTTCATCTTAAATAGAAAGACTTGTTTCTTTGTGATAACTAATAATAGCATTTTTCATTTGGCATAAACATCTTCAGCAGAATTATGTACTACCTGGGGGGCAGAAATAGTTCTTTTTAACTAAATAGCAGAATTATTCAAACTTTGGAAAGTAGTTTAATACTTAGGAATATTTTTAAGTAAGATAGGGAAAGAAGTTGTTACTTTCAGGAAGTTCTTTTGTCAGACTAAAGTTACCATAAAATTTCTAAATCAAGGCTCAGCAAACTTCCTTACAGAACCAGAGAATAAGTGTTTCATTTGTGCTTGCGGGCTATCATGTCTTTATAGACTACACAGTTTGAGCACTGTAGTGTTTGCCAAATTAATTAGTAATTAAATAGTAATTTAAATATGCTTCCCTTTGTATTGTTTTATTATCACTTTTTTTTTAAAAGTGTAGTTGAACCTCATGGGTCAACAACACTTTGGACTTCTACTGCTACTGATTTTCCTGATCTTATGTCATGATTAAAAACAAAACAAAGGTGACAGCATTATACATGAAAATGGAACTAATTACTACAGTATCAATTTGAGAACAGCCAGGAGATGTTTAGAGAATATATCATTTGTAATTCTTAACAGGAATTATTTATCATTATTTATAGCAATTACTGTATTTCTATGTAGTATTTTAAGAATAATGATTTGTGTACTATTTCTTGAGATAAAAATGCCCAAGCTTGTTTTCAATATTTATTAATAAAAATATGTTTTGTACATCTGAGGAGTGTATATTGAAAAGCAGGTGCATACATTCCTTGTCCTCTTACTTCCACATGGTCTTAGATTATAAAGTTTAAGCCCTTCATTGGGTATTGAGCATGAGATTTGTTGCCTAAGACTGGGGAGAAGTATCTTCCTTAAACTATATAGCATAGTGTAAATAGCTTTTTATGTGTCTAATTCGTGTTTTCTCCCTACTTTTTTCAGGAGGTAACAGTTAATTTCACCTATCTTCACATAACAGTGCTTCAATAACAGACTTGGAAGGAAAGTGAGGTGTTATTAGAAAGAGAGCATTTTCTTATAATCTAATAAAGTATTTACCATTCATTTGTATTTATATATAAGCAATGACCTAGGGAAGGGTATTTAAGCTATAAATATAAAAGCTTTGGCATTTTATACATTTTATTACTGGTGGTATATAAATAGATAGTAGGCACATTACTGTGTAAATCAACATAGGAAGACTTCTTTTAAGGCAGAGAAATCTAAACACTTGGGTGATTTGAAAAGTGATGGACCAAAATAAATGAACAAATTAATAAGTCTGTCAGATTACTTTTCTTCCTGCTTGATGAAAAGCAATGATATAAAAAATGACAGAAATTATGGAAATGATAAAGATAGATAGTTGGCATTTTATTTTTTTGATAGATTTGACAATGACTAATAAAACTGATTTATTCAAAAGATATGTGTTTAAAGATAACTTCAGACTTTATAAATCTATTTTATATTATAGAATCTGGAAACAAATATTGAAACTTCACTTGTCATATGGAAAAAATAGCAATTAGTTCCATCCTTTGATTTATAGTAAACTGATCAGTTTTATGCATTGTCTAATGTTGGTAATGATCATAACCTACTGTATTAAAATTAAGGATCAAGCACAGATTCCCCAAATTGTATATTAACATTTATACAATTTAAAATGCTTTACTATAATACTAACTTTTGTATTTATTTTCTGGAAAACTCTTTAAGTCTTTGGGTTCTATAAGCCTCTGGATAAATTAGATTTTAACAATGTTTATTAGCATTTTGGACTTTCTAATTCTACAAAACAAAGTATTTTTGAAAGTCATTTAAAAAGTTCTGAAACTATTTGAAACTCCTAATTAGGTTATTTTGTAAGTAGGGGCTTTCCTAAGTCTGTGTTATTATGACTTTATAAAAACAGAGCCCATTGATTTCCAGACACTATTCTTATACAAATTAGTTATTTCATTCATTGAAACTACCTTTTTAGGATTTCTGATTGAGAAAATATGAAACTTATGCCCTTGTCAATTTCTAGTTATTCTTTCTTCCACATTTCTCAAGATCGATTATCTTATAGACCAGTAACTAAAAATACTGTACATAGAATTACATGTTTTTATTATCATGCCACATGTGAATACATTGTAACAAAAATTGTACCCATTTATCATTTCCCAGTTAAGTGGAATTAATTTTAGAAGTAGAAAAGGTAATTATTTTGTGTCTGGATCCAAACTGGCTTTTGTTTCATTTTTAATTTTCATAATAATTATATTATCTCTATGTCTTTATTATGTTCTTTTATAGTGCTTTTGCTTAGTAGTTGATATTTACTTGGTTATGTTCTCAGAGTCTATTTCTATTTAATGTCAAAACAGCTCATAAAAAGTGAAAATACAGTCAAGTTTGTTATTTAATATTATATAAAATCAAAATAGAGCATAACACAGTTTTTAACTTATAAAAAATTTTAATTTTAGCTGTGTGCAAAAGCACATAGAATATATGAGTTAATGTAAAACCTTGATTACCTTGATGCTAGAAAACTCAAATTAATGGGATTTTGAGAGATTGTAGTCTTCAATTGAAATTGTATCGAAGAAAAATATTTACTTAAGAATAATAACTTAATAAGTAAATAAGCTAGTATGGTCTTCCAATTAGTCCTATGAGATTATGGATGAGTATTAAATTTAGGCCTGTAAGATGAGCAGTTTTGCTTTTTTTCTCCAAGTTAGGGGCATACATTGGCTCACACTGGCAATTCAAAATTAAGGGTTATACCAGGAAATGCAATGAACTACAATGCTGCCTTCCTGGAGCATTCCAGTTAGTCTAGGTTTTACTGTGTGTTGATATTATATATCCGGCTTACTTTATTCAACAGTTACGATTGCATTTTCCTTTTCACTTTTTAAGCTATGCTGTTTAATGTTTCTGAGACATCTAATTTTACTGAGGGTGAAAATGGAAATGCAGTACTGAGCTCAGCTAAATGAAGGCTCTAAAGGTGCATGAGTTTCCATTTTTGTTTTAAGCTATCCATTCCTCCCTATCTTACATCTATTCTTTGTTGTGCCCTTTGGTTTAACATTGTTCTCCTCCCCAATTTTCCTCTTCTCCTCATTGTAAACTCATGGCAGGGTCTGCTTGGTGAGCTCATTCTCTTACAACAGCAAATTCAAGAGCATGAAGAAGAAGCACGCAGAGCTGCTGGCCAATATAGCACGAGCTATGCCCAACAGAAGCGCAAGGTGATGGATGATTTAAGGGGGCTACTGATATGTTCACGCTAATCAGCCATTTCTGCCAAGATCATGTCACCTTAATCCATTCATGGACTCAAGTTACAAGAAATTATTTTTAACAAAGTTAAAAAAAAAAAAAAGATACATCATAAAGATATGTAACTTTCCTGGAGTGGATGTAGTATAGTATAGACAAAGCTCAAAATATCAAGCTCAACCATAGCAATTTAGTTTCCAAAGATTAGTTTATCTGTGAGTGTCCATGGATTTGTATTTAGAGTAAGATTATGAGTTACTGTTTATGTGGTCCAGTTATTGAGTCACCCCAAAATTGATGCAGTTAAGAGGTTGCTTCGGCTGTTAGGTAATACCAGAGTATAGATTCCTAAGTTTGTATTGTGACAAGATTTTTAGGTCCCAGTGAAATAATTAATGATTTTGCTGTTAGAGTCTGAGATCTCAAAAATCAGTTAATTATGTTACATCTATTAGATAAAAATAGTTTTAAAGTTATACACAGACTTTATTTAGGAAAAAAGATTAATTCACACAGTTAACTTCCAGGAGAGTTCTAATGTCTACATCAACCAATACTGTAGATAATAATTAGGCTCCATAATTCTGCTGGCTAACCTTATCTCATTTGGTGGTGGTTAATACTTGACAGTACTCATCATAATTCTGTTATTTTTTTCAGTGTCACTGGCTCTTCTCAATTCCATGGCTGTGGAATCAAAAATCTATATTAGCATTCAATAAAGAAATAACATAGGAAGGAAAAGAAAATAAGTTCTTTTTGTATGTGGTTAAAGTAGATGTGTTAAAAGGAAGGACTTATTTTAAGTGGTACTTTAACTTTCTCTTTTCTGTATCCTGTGAGTGTACCATTTAAATAGTCTATCAAATTGGATGTTTAGGCCAACCTATTCATACTATAGATTTGTTGCAGAAAGAAGGGGGAGGAGTTAGTATGTTCTAGTATGATACTTAGAAATATAAATATAGCTTTATTTACAAGTTGTTCTGAAGTGTTTTTTTTATAATGATGAAATATGTCCCTGACATTTTAAGATTCTAAGATATAGTTAAAGATTATCATTGTGCTTTTGAATCTAACAATACAGGGATATTAGGAATGAGCACTCATTCATTTTCTACATTGTAAAAGGTTAATATCCATTGTAGGCCTATTTTACTAGTTTTTACTTCTGACTCAGAAATATCATTCCTATTTCTAATGTTTATTGGATTATTCATTTAAGCATTTTGTACCTCTTTCCTTGTTTATAAAATAGAGACTGTTAGGTCTCTATTTTGTTTATTAAAATACACTTAGTTGGGCACCAGACAGACCTTTTTTGTGCCCTCTTTTTGTTATCTTGTGTTAATTATAAGTGGGACTTTAAAAAATAATTTATACTCTTTTGTAACGAGTTCTCCTTACCGTTCTGAAAGAAGAGTTCTTTACTTAATCTTTACCTCCTCCTTCCTAGAGTTGGTACAGAGGTGACTTTTCAGCTCTTCACTGGCATGATCAAAATTCTTATGAGATTTTTGTCACTGCAGTCATTTGGGTTTTATTTGAGGTATAAAACAAACCATGGGTACTTTTTGTTGCTTTTTAATTATTGTTTTTCCCTTACCTTCTTGAAACTATAAAAAGGTCTTCATTTTTAAATATTTTGTTAGAAGCAACTAACAAGTTTTTTCTGTATCTTCTAAGTAAAAGAGCTCAAGAAGAGCTAATAGATTAAAACTGCCTGTGGTAGTTTTGCCTCCTAAAAGTATGTATATATATAGAAATCTTTCAGTGACCCTCTTGTATATGTATTTCAGAATGCCACAATGGCTTAGTAGTAAGAAATACTTATTTAAAATCAGGCTTAGTTTTGTGAGGAGCTAGTAAAGGTTTTTCTCTTTCAGCTTTAGCTTGTTTCTGCGGAGGATTCCGCTCTTTCTCCATCAGTTTCACAGCCCTGGAATTGTAGAAAAGCTCTGGTTTCAAGACCATTGATATCATTTCTGTCAGGGTGAGTTTCAAGTTAATTTCATAACGAAAACTAAATATGTTAAACAACAGGACATGAGCTTCTCATTGTAAGTGGCTGAATTTAATAGCAAAGCACATCAAAATAAAATGTACCCAAGTTACTAGCTAAGACTTAGGATAAGTTTCTGGTTGAAAGTAGAAGAAAACATGTAAACGTATATTCTCCTTAAACTTTAACATTTGTTTTAGAAACCTAAAAGTTTTCTAGAAAAAAAAATAGATCTGTTTTTTATTCCACCACCACTTGTCTTTTAATATAACATTAAGATTAATTTTGATGCTGCATTAAACTAAGCAGATAGAAACTGTGTCAGTAAACTATGCATGAATTATTTTTCACAATTTTGCCAGAAGAGCAAATAATAAATTTAAATATTCCCCAAAATCCAAATACATATATATAGATCTCAACAGTTTTTATTCTAAATACTAATATTAAAATCAAGATTGAGTTATGTTGTAATAAACATCATTTTAACCTTATATTGAACCTTTTTATTTTACCAAACTAATAACTAAGTTAACCTTTTACAGTTCGTGGCTTATAAGAGACATTTAAACCTTTTTTGCATAATTATTATTAGTTTCTTAATTATTGCCCCAGATGTTGAGTATGTTGGATTTTCTATAATAATTTAGGATATATTATATGAAATCAGTAAATATTCATATTCAAAATTAAAATAGTTGAAACTAATTTTTATGTATGTTTTACCCATTTAGCTCCCTTTGGGTGAATATTTAATAAGCAAAGTAAATCTCAAAGTGCCTTTTTAATGATCTGGGTATTTAATCTGCATAACAAATTATTTATGACCATATTATTACAAAATTATGGCATACCATATGATTGTAACATGGAATTATTTCTTTTTTCATTGGCCTTCTAAATTTTGTTTTTTGGGTTATGGGCTCCTCCTCAACTTGCTTATCTCCTTATGTTTTAGGAGACTATTAATAATTCTTGTCCATTCTACATACATATAGTTAAAATGAGAAAAAATATTATCAGCAAGTTTCTGCTTGCTATACGGAATTGCAAAAACAACGTTTTTAAAATATTTTTTCTCATTACCAAGTCATTCTTGGAGATTTTCAGACATGGTCTTTTAAGAAAAAGAAAATATGTCTATTATTTCTAGCAAGCATTGGCATTTATCTAAGTAAAAGTTTGGAGAAAAATTTGAAAAATACTTAGAAATAGGAATTAAAATCTGAAAATAGCCAGGCACAGTAGATTACAGCTTGCCTGTAATCCCAGCAGCTCAGGAGACTGACACAGGAGGATCATGAATTCAAAGTCAGCGTCAGCAATTTAATGAGGCCCTAAGCAACTCAGTGAGAGTCTGTCTCTAAATGAAATATTTTTAAAAGAGCTGGGGATGTGGCTTTGTAGTAAAGTGCCCCTGGGTTCGATCCCTGGTACAAAAAAAAACTGAAAATAACTTTATAGCATGGACAAGATTTATTAATGTCTACCTCAATAATCATTTAAAGTTTTTTTGCATGTATTTGCTGCCATTGATGTTCTGATTGCTTAAATTGCCCAGTGAATATGTGCAAAGATTTAAATGAAAAAGAATATGAATTTAACTTGATTTTTTTTCTCCTGTGATATAAATTCACATCTACAAATTTTAACTTTCAGAAATTAGAAAGTAATTTTTAAAGACTAAGGATGACAACTTCTGTACCTTATCAAGAAGTCAAAGTACAGTTTGTGAATGTCATAAGTGACATCGTTTTTATTACAATTGATCATTGTATTTTGCATTTAGATTTGTATTGTGACTACTTTAAAACCTGTTATAAAGTTCTCTGGAGTTTTTAAAAATATTTTATGTTAACATTATCAATAACAATTTGAAGTAGTTTACACAATACCTGTGGATTTTATTCTTTTTTTGTTTTGTGTTCAAATTGATGTTAGTTGCTGTACTTGGTTTCATTGCTGCAAATGCATTCCCTAAAGTGTAAAGGTTAGCAGATCTTGCACTGGAATTGGATTTAAAAACAAGCATCTGGTTCAACTTAAAGCTCTGAAAATGCAACTTACTTTTTGCATTTATTATGCACTTATTTAAAGTATAGAAATGAATAACTTTTCCTTAAAAGATATACTGTGACCAATGAGCTTTTACAGTAGCTGTAATTAGTTCCATGTATCTGATTTCCCCAAATTTATTTCTAGAGAGATATGAATGCTTATTCTCCAAATATGTAAGTCCCTGTGCTTTAGTACAGAACAACCTCTTAAGAATAAACATGTTGGTTGGTCTGCTATTTTTCTAACAAGTCATTCATAAGAAATGACTGGAATGACAACAGGAAATTTATTCTGTTATAAGGTTTTTACTTCTTAAAATATAAAATTTTGATGACCTATTTTTATTGTTGGATGCCGGTATTTTCTTTAAAAAAAATCACTTGATTTAAAGTTTGTTTTAATTATACATATAAAGTTATCGGTTTTCATTCTTGATACTTTTTTAAAAATTTAACTTACTGTACATTCTATATAAACCTAACTCTAGTCAACTAAAATTAGTTTCCTTTAAATATTTAGGTGTCAGACAAAGAGAAAATTGACCAACTTCAAGAAGAACTTCTGCATACTCAGGTAATTCTGATGAGTAAGAAAACCCAGGATCTTTTTTAAAAATAATCCTATGTAAGTTTGATGATATGTAAGTTTGGAAGTTTACTTTTTTCAACAAAGCAATATTTGGAATTGTTATTGATAAACTCTTGTTATCACTAAGAGAGAAAAGCTAATTGAGAACTAAGGAGGAGCTATGTAAGTATTGAATTAACTCGTTTATGTGTCTCATTTTGAGTGTACTGTGAAAAAAGGAAGGAAAGTGGTTGTTCCTATATGAACTGACTCTTGCATTTTTATATTGATAAAATAATTCTTTAATTGGCAACAGTTAAAGAAATTTGAATTGAGTCTACTACCACATAATCTAGTGAGCTCTCCGAAATCTTTTTCTTTGCTTCTCTGAAGCCTGAAATCAATCAGATGGTACTTTTCTAAAGGTATTTCTGGTTCCACTTTGAAAAGCTATTCTTTTAATAGTTTGTAAAATCATCATTTTAAAGATCTGTTCTGTGAGTAGGTAACTTGTGCAGTGTTATTAGTAGATGACTTTCTAGTGCAAAATTGCCTTATCACTTCATCATCTATATTCTATATAAATAACAGTAATGTACAATCATTAAGAGTTAGTTTTAAAAGTTAAAAGATTTTTCATCTTGGGTCTTTCTATTTAGGAAAAAAAACAAGTATCAATCTGGATGAAATTAAACAACTAATATGTACATTTTGAGTCACAGGTTTCCTTGATTTTTTCATTGAGTCTTATACCCGACTGTATGCTACAATCACCTATGTTCTGGGTGGCCCCATATATTTTTTATTATTTGCCATTTATTTATTTATAGAGCACTTATAGTTGTGCATAGTAGTTGGATTCATTTTGACAAAATCATACATGGCATGGACTTTGATTTTAATCACATTCCCTCCCTTCCCGGCCTTCCCTCCCCTCCTTTCCCCATTCTCTTTCTTCTACTGATCTTCCTTTCACTTGCTTATTTATTTTTGACTGGTGCTTTCTGCATATACATAAAGGTGAAATTCCCTGTGGTACATTTATATATGCATATAATGTGATTTTGTTAAATTCATTTCATATTTCCTTCCCTTTCACTTTCTTCCTTCCTCCCTCTGGATCTCCTTTTACTCTAATGATCTTCCCCATATATTTATGATACTGACCACCCCTGCCCAACATCTTCTTTCTCTTATTTTGCTCTAGCTTCCACATAAGAGAAAACATTCAATCCCTGATTTTCAGAGTCTGTCTTATTGCACTTTGCATGATGTTCTGTTTTCATAATTTTTTTCTTCTTTATGGGTGACAAATACATTAAGAAAGGTTCAACATTTCTAGCAATCAAGGAAATGCAAATAGAAGCTACACTAAGATTTCATCTCATTCCAGTCAGGATAGCAGTTATTAAGAACACAATAATAAATCCTGGCAGGGATCGGGGGGTACACCTGTACATTGTTGGGGAGCCTGCAAATTAGTACGACTACTCTTAAAGCAGTATGGAGATTCCTCAAAATATTAGGAATAAAACCACCATATGACCCAGCTATCCTACTCCTTGGTATTTATCTAAAGAAACTAAAAGCAGAATAGTATAGTGATACAGCAGGAGTTAAGAATCACTGGTTTTATAGATGTGGACATGCTGTGGAGAGAAGTGGAGTAAGCAAGCTGGAATGCATGCTGGGCCTAACTTAGCCGTCTTCATTGCCTAAAGAGATCTCAACAGCAGTGGCAGCCTTGCTGCTGCTAGGAGGAGAAGGAAAGGTCATCCATCTGTCTTGTCTCTTCGTCCCCAGGAGGATAAGAGGGAGCAGTTGCTGATGTCACAAATACACTTTCAGGAAATAACTTCTAAATCTTGGTTGAAATTTTTAACCATCCTCAGTGGATTTTTTTATGTTTTCAGCTATTTAGTAAGTATCTTGTTGGGAGAACAGGTGGCACATAGGCTAATATTCTTCATAATGATCTTCATGCTAGAATTACTTTTAAAAGGTGAAAGATGATGACGACAGAAACATCTAGAAGGATAAATGAACTTGATTCCAGTTTCTAGCCAACATATGAAAACACAGACATCACTGAAAACCTCTATCAAAAAGTTAAAATTCTTTTTTGGGATGTGGTAGTTCCTCAGAATCTAGAGAAAAAGTCCAAATATGTAAAAGCTACCATGAGTTCAGTGTCATAATAAAGCGGTGTTAAAGACTTTCCTGCTGTGGGATTAAAAACCAAAGGAGCAGAGCACCTGTACTGGAAAGCAATTAAAACTTTTCAGTATGTTCATGACCATTATTTAGAAGATGCTAATTGGTGTGTGAAATCAGGTGATGATACATATGTCATACTAGACAATTTGAGATGACTGCTTTCAAATCATGGTGCTGAAGAACGAATTCACTTTGGGAGAAGTACTGTGTAAAGCAGGATTGCATGAGTGGAGATCAAAGAAGCCTTGAAGAGATTTGGTAGTGATGCATTTAAAACAGTCAGATGTACCCATAATTCCTCCAATGAAAACGGGAATAATGTATGTAAATTATAAATGTAAACCTGGAGATTCCAGAGGTAATCACTGGAAAATAAACTTTTCATCCCTTTCTACAAGAATACCACCTAATCAAAGGTTATCTACCCAGAACTTTTTGGTACTGTTACTATAAATATCCTCCTGTAGAGGTCCTGGTTACTGTTCTGATCTGACAGTTTCTTTTCACAATGTTGATTCTGCAACAATCAAGAATACTTTGTTTATTATCTTCATCTGTATGGCTATTTATATAGATATCAACCTGCATTATCTGAAAATTGAAATAATTCAAGCAAACAAAAATGAAGATCCAAGAGTAAAATTAGGAAACCCTTGAAAGAAAAGTGTGAATGAACCCCAAAAATGTCTAGCAGTACAATGAAGAAGGACTTGGGCATATTTGACATAGAACCCTGAAATCCCAGTGAGGAATTAATTCTGAGTAAACATTCCATATAGAAATCTTTCAAGTAAATGACTAAACTGAAACTGAAGTCTATTAAAATGGTTTGATATGGTAATGTATGTACATGCACATACATACACATATAACACACACACATATATGAGGAACTTACGTTTTTAAAACTGACAAGGTTGAAGAACTAGAAGAGATTTTGTTGTTGGCTCCTGGCCATGTATATTATTTTGATTGAGTAACTAAAATAGTTAACTTTGCTAAAACTGCACTGCACTATGTAAATCCACACTGCTAAAAAGACCTGCCTTAAGAAAATTTAGAAGGAAATATGGTTGCTCAGTGTTTATACTTATTTATAGTGTGATATAAATGAACCAGTCACCCTCCCCCACATGCATAGTTACCTAATGAAAATTTTGTTGTTGTGGTTATTTATAATTGGAAATATCTATTCAAGAAGAAGGTAGACTAAGAATGGCACTTATCCTAAAGTGCATTAATAAAACTACATTTTGTAAGTTAAAAAATTCACTGGTCTGAAAGTGTGATCGCTAGATCAGAAGTATCAGTGTTCTTTGGGAGGTGTTAAAAAATGGCAAATTCTTGTCTCTGTCCCACTCTGGGAATGGAACCTAGCAATCTTTTTTTTTTTTTTTTGGTTGCTCAGAACATTACAATGATCTTGACATATCATATTTCATACATTTGATTCAAGTGGATTATGAATTCTTATTTTTACCACGTATACAGATTGCAGGATCACATTGGTTATACATCCGGAACCTAGCAATCTTTGTTTTGAAAATCTTTCAAGGAAGTTGTGATTTGCCCTACAGTATATTATTGTTCTAGAACCTTGCAAGACAGGTTAATAGCACATTGCTGTAGTTGACATGTGTACTAAAGAATGAAAATATAAATCCCCAAATAGATTCCATATTTACAAGGAAATGAGCCAGTGGAAATCCTACCACCTTTATGTATCCCTTAATATCAACCCTTTGACTTGTACAGTTGTAGTTATTAGCCACTGAGCATTGACACAACACTGTGTGGAGAATTCATAATATAATAAAACCATGGAATTAGCTGTGTCTGTATCAGTGATTTCCAGTAGAAAGAAATACGCAGGTCACCTGAAAAATTGAAAGTTTTACATTAAAAAAGGATGAAAAGAAACAGATGAAATTGTTTAACAATATACTATTTAAAAGCCCAATATGTCTCAAATACTTTAATTTTAATGTGTGATCCATGTAAAAGTATTAAATAAGATATTCTATGCTTACAGCATATCTTCATAGACCAGCCATATTTTAAGTGTTCAGTAGTTTCTTTGGCTTGTGACTACCATATTAGGCAACAGTAATCTACCAGAATTTTGTTATATGTGCTATTAGTGGATATAAATGGACGTGTAAAAAATGTTTATAGTGCAACGTAAACTGTTTCATATTATATGATTCAATTATATGTTTTCTTTAACTTGGTTTAAGCTGGACATTCTCAGAGGATAGGACCATGTTTAAGTGATAACTTTGTTCTAATACGCTTTTTTAATCAAAAGATTGAAACTTTTTAAAAAACTTTTCTTAAAAACTATTTTCTATTATGAAAATTATGATGTGCATTTATACAGGAACATTCTGCTGATTATTGGGAAGAGTGCTTCTTAGTAGTTTCTTGTACATTTTTTAATGTTTAGAAGAAATAAGAATGAGGAAGACCAGTTCAAAAGGATCACATTCACTTAAGAAGAGGAGATGGTTACCAAGCAACTCCTTTGACAGAATACCCTCTTTGAATTTATTAGTTTTCTTTGCAATCTATTTTTATATCATTATTTTAAATATTGACATATTTTCTCTGGGCATTGGCATTTAACAAAACGGAAGAATTTGAACCTCTGACTCAGACAAACTTATATTCAAAAACTCTTTTTCTCCACCAATACAAGCTAGGTTGCCTTGGGCATGCTACCACACATCCCTAAATTAAGATCCTACTCTGCATAACTCCTGCCATGTGACGTTTCTAGGATGGCTAAGATAGTTAATACATGGGAAACAACTTAGTAGAGAGTCTATCACGTGCTACATGCTCAAGTATTGTAGTTATTATTACTTTATATCATAGCATCAATTAAAACAAAATAACTTGGGAATGGAAAGAATCTGAATTTTTGTCGAGTGGCCCTATAATGCAAACCTTAAATTTTGACAATAACAAGAAATACTGCCTTTTTAGGGTGTACTTCAGAACCTACTTTTTAAAATTCATACATATTTGATATTTCTAAATAACTTAATTTTTTCAGTGTAAGAAATTTGTAAAGAATTTTTCAAATTAAATGCTAAATTACAATAGAAAGTCATGAATTTCACTATTTAATATTCAGAGTTTCATTATTGCCTTATAAGCCTTTTAAAAGTAATATATATTTTAAATAGGTGATATGACTTCAAAATTTCGGAAGATTTTAATTTGGACTTAGTATTTGTTGACCCATCTTTTTCTCATATAATTGTATGTATTATTTTTTTGCAGCTAAAGTATCAGAGAATCTTGGAACGTTTAGAAAAGGAGAACAAAGAATTGAGAAAATTAGTATTGCAGAAAGACGATAAAGGCATCCATCATAGAAAGCTGAAGGTATTTTCTTTCAGTTTATTAATTCTCAAAACTTTGACACATACCTTTGTTCATTGATACCAGTTTTTAAGGAACTGTAGAATGTTTTGTTATCCTTTTATTTCCAACTTAATGTCAACAGTCTCCCAGATTTATTCTTATACTGGATTCCTAAAAGCCTTATTTTTAAGAGTAATTCCTTGGGAATTTATTTTTCTGAAATACTTAATTTTATCTCTAGGCTTAATTTCTACATCTATATAATTAGAATTATTAATTTGATGGACATTTAACTATGACATCATCATTGCCTTACTATTATTTCCAGTGAATGACTGAGCCACTTTATTTGATTTTAAAAATTAACATTCATCTTTTAAAGGAAGCTTCTTTGGCATTTATAAGAATTTTTCGAAAAAGCCTGATGATATTATTATTAGCACATTGGTAATTACCACTATCTCCCACCAAACCAAGCCAAGCCAGCATATGTGTTTAATGAAATTAAAGTAGTTCATTTAGCTTAAATGTTGTAAGTAAGCACAATAAGTACTCATGGCACATACATTCTGTAGCCAAGGTCCAAAGATTTCATTCTAGTTTAAAGAATGTGTTGCTAGCTCTGATTCTTAAGTTGTGACAGTACAAAATAGATAACTAGCATGGCTTTATTTACAAGTGGCTCTTACCAGTTGAGAAAAGCCACATCCAAATGTAACTGTATGTTGAGAATTTACCTAAAAGATGGCATTTTCTCTCATAAAATGCATTGGTAATGAAATTTCTTTTTAAATTTTTTTGCTTGCTTTTAGATACATGGAATGACAGTTGCTTACCATTTAATTACTTTCAGTTATAAAAGATTAAGACACTTAAACCCTAATGTTGTTTGTATCTTGGCATTAAAACTTATCTTAAAAAAAAAAAGCACCTATCTTTAATTAGTAAATGGGTCTTTTTTTTTCCAGACCACTTTGCTTATTTGTTTGGTCTTCAGATATTTTACTTATATGTAAGACACCATGTTCATTCCTTATCTACAGAGAAGCAATCCAGGATATCTGTCCCAGATGCTCTAACATAGTAGCCTTCCGAGGTGTCAGAGGAAGCTTAACCTCTTTTACTGGCTTAACAGTCCTCTTGGTGATCATTTCTCTAGTTTTAGCCTCAGATGTTTATTTGCATATGTTCTCTATCCTTTTTGTTTCTCCCTGTCAAACACACACACCCCATACTTGGCAGAGAACAATAGCTTCCTTGTCAATTGGTCACCTGGCCTCTTTTAACGCCTTTTTGGTATTAATGGTCTTCCTCTATTGACATTTAATATTAGCTCATCAGTAATAATACCTTCCTTTTATTATTTAATTAGAATTTTAGGAAGTTCTAAATTTTTTCTCTAAATTAAACTGAAACTCTAAAGTAAACTGAAGATGAAATGGCATTTTACCCTTTATTCAACTGATTTTCTTACAGTTKTTTTTTAATAGTGTCTTGTGGATGTACGTAATAGTGAGTCTCGCTGTGGTATCTTCATATATATGTGAACATAGGAAATTTAGATCAGACTCATTCCACTGTTCTTCCTTTTCCCATCTCTTAATGTTTTAATGTTTACTATGAAGATATATTTATGTAACTGGAAAAAGCAGTATAATCATGGGAAAACAATTTGAACATATCACATTTTTTTTCTCTAGACACATCTGTAGTATTTTTTTTCCTTAATGTTTCAATTTTCTATTAATTTTTTAAAATTTTACAGAAATCTTTGATTGATATGTATTCAGAAGTTCTTGATGTTCTCTCTGATTATGATGCCAGTTATAATACACAAGATCATCTACCACGGGTAAGTGAAAAAATAATACACAATGAACTTGCTCATTAGCAAAAATCACCTTCTTAAAAGTTTTATGTATCTATACACATATTGTATGCATTTACATATGTACACTCACATAGACATACATAATTTTTTACCTATATAATATTATTTATGTGTTCAGATGATAGCTTAAGCACTGAGTATTGTTTGACTCTTTATTTTGCTCCATATTAACATCTTATTTATGTATTGTATAATGTTATGAAGGAAGACTATTGGATATTTGGCATTATAAATTCATTAGATTTATAATAGTAAAATACCTGAACCATGAATTAAATTAGGCACACAAATGAAATTTAACCTAATAGAATTTAAATGTATTTCTAAAGAGTAAACTAGCTATAGAAAATTTGTGGAGAGTTAGTAATCTAGTATTAGAAAAAGTGGTTTTAATTAATTGAGCACAAGTTTTTTTAATTAAAATTTGGCTATAAATAATGGATCTGATTAATGTTTTGCTATATCAACCATCATTTTGTCATGGGTTTTCAAAAACTCATTTATTTTTATTTTTAATTTGGCTTTATTGATCTTGGATTCTGAAACTGGATGTCTGAATGTTTTGTTTCCAAAAACAAAAATTATCTTTTGCTCATGGCACATGTAAAAAAAAGAAGCCATTTTTTTTTCCCCTTTCAAAGGGGAGAAAAATCACCATGTGTTGAAAGGAAATCAAAACAAACAACTACATTCTGCAGCACGAAATAGTCAACTCAGGGCTACCATTGCCTGATGACCTTCTATCAGATTTTACGTGAGGCTTCTCAGAAGGATGTACGTTTAATTCACCCTGAAGATGACCACAATACTTTTCTCCAGTAATCTAATATGATATTTAATAACCCTTTGCTTCCAAGGGCATTTGTTCTTCATTCTAATGCATTCAACCTTTTCTACATTACTTTTTTCCTACTTCTCTATGAAAATAGAACCTCCATCTAACTGATATTTTATACCGAAAAGATGGATTACATTAATAGAGCATTAACCCCTATTCTTAGAAATTTGACCTAATATAGCATATTAACTGACACATCTATCTTATAAATTATTCTTTTTTAAAATTATATCATCCTTTTTCTACATTTTTATTGCTTCTTTTTAATCATACTTGACAGTAGAATTCATTGTGATATAATTGTACCAGCATAGAATATATCTTATTCTAGTTAAGACCCCTTCTTATAGATGCATATGATGGTGGGATTCACTGTGGTGTACTCATATGTGTACATAGGAAAATTATTTCAGATTCATTGCATTGTCTTTCTTTTTCCCATCCCGATTCCCTTCCCTCATCGTTATACAAAATACATATATGATGATGTGAGGGGGAAGAAGAAAAAAAAAGAGAGAGAGAAAGTAGATTGGGTAGAGGAAGGTGATGGGAGGGGAGGACGGGTAGGGAGGGTAGCAGAATACAATAGACACTAGTATTGTTGTATGTATATACGTGGCTGTATAACCAATGTGATCCTGCAATCTGTACAAGTGGAAAAATGAGAATTCATACCCAATTTGTATCAAATGTATGATATGTCAAGATCATTGTATTGTCTTGAGCAACTAATAAAAAAAAAACAAAACAAAGGTTGAATGTTTTTGCTGATATGTGGAGGCTAACCCACAATAAGTGGGGAGAGGGAATTAATAGATAGGCTCAGTAGGTTAGACAAAAACTCATTTTTTAACTATAATAATTTTAAAAGACTAAAACAGCAACATTTCATATCTATTTAAGCAAATTTTTTTATCTGAGAAATATGAATAAATGTTATTTGCTTTGTGATAAGGTTGTTGTGGTTGGAGATCAGAGTGCTGGAAAAACAAGTGTGTTGGAAATGATTGCTCAAGCACGAATATTCCCTCGAGGATCTGGAGAGATGATGACACGTTCTCCAGTGAAGGTAAGAAAAACAGCCATCTGAATGAAGTGCTTCAGGAGAGTCACCACTTGATGGGGGCTGTTCATTGGGTGGAAATCAAGACTTTTAGTTAAAAGGAGTTTTATATAGCATTTTGAATGATTCTTAGTGTAGCAATGAGTAAGTGGCACAGCCAGAATGCCCATGTGGCAGAAAAAGAGAGTGTGGATGAGGACAGTGGAGGTACAGTGGCTGGCCAGGCTAGTATACAGCTCCTTGGGTGGTTGGAGAAGAGAAGCACTGTCATGTTTAAGGAACAGTAAAGACACCAGTGTGACTTGACCAGAGTGGAGAATTGTGATGATGTCACAGAGATAATGTAGGACTGGGTGAAGCAAATCATTAGGGCCTTGCACAGCATTGCAAAAACCATGATTTTTATTTTGAATAAGACGAAGAGCCAGTTCAGAATTTAAAGCAGAGTTATATTGCCTTTTAAGGGGTCTGGCTGCTATGTTAAAACTAGATAAAGGCAAGATAGATAAAATCATGGAAACCAGGTGAGAGGCTATCAGATTATCCAGTTGATCCTTGGACCAGTGAAGTAACATTGAAGGTAATAAGAAATAATTTGATTTTGAATCTGTTTTAAAGTAGCAACAACAGGATTTCTTGCCATATTTAATAGGGAAAGAGAGGGTATATGCTAGTGATGAAGGAGGTTGTGGACCTAAACACAGGACCCAGAATTGCATCCTGGGCACTCTCAATATTAAAAAGTTGAATGAAGAGACAATAAAGAAATGTGTGAAGGTCCAGCCAATGCAATAGGAGGGGAACCAGGACCTTACTGGGATCAGGAGAAAATATAGTGAGGAGGAGGAAGTGATCAGTAAGGTCAAATGCTGCTGAAAGGTTACAACAAAGACTGAGGAGCAGTCAGTCAGTGGTGTGGCCAGATATGGTGGCACACACTGTAATCCCAGTTACTCAGGAAGCTGAGGCAGGAAGATTAAAAGTTCAAGGGCAGCTTCAGCAAGACCCTGTCTCAAAATAAAAAGTCTGGGAATGTGGCTCAGTGGTAGATTGCTTGCCTAGCCTGTGCAAAGCCATGGATTCAATTCCTAGTCCCTAGTACCACCAAAAAAAAAAAAAAAAAAATGAAAAACAATCATTTCAGTTTACCAGTGGGGACACATAAGTGGAATATATATGGAAATTTTTTGATTGCTTCTGCTTCCTCAATGAAATGAGAAGCCAAATTATCAGCTGTTATATAAGGAGAAAGGATTGAGACAGGAGAAAGAAATGAAGACTTTATGAGAAGTTGATGTACCTGTAGTAGTGAATTGATGAAGTCAAGTAGTGTTAGGATTGATGAGTTAGAAATCCCCATTAAGATCTGTGGATATAAATTTAAAGTGAATCTGTGGTTTTTTTTGGTGAGGAGGGGGTGTTCCTTGTTCTTTGTTTTACAGTTAGCTGGTGGGGTGGGTATGGAATTATTAAGAATTGGGAAATTGGAAATCACCAAGAATTATAGCTAGAATAATGGTAGAAAATGAGACAATGAGCTGATATCAAAATCTTCAAGAAGTGAAATCTTTTTATAATTGCAACAAGGAGTATTGGGCAGTCTAGTATGATTCAAACAAGAGAATGCACTTTTTTGGGTCTGGCTGTGTTATGTGATACTTGTTCCTTCTTCATGTTTCCGTGCTATTGAGTGAATGTACCAGACTTTATAAATCCATTTTACTATTGGTAGGAATTTGGGGTACCTCCAACATCCCAAAGTGAACCTATGCTTTATATCACATTTCATAATCAATTGGAAATCTACCTTTGGTGTCGTTACTAGTACCTTAATTGTAGAGGTTGTGGATAATAATGCAGGAGAGAATTAACTTTGTTCTGGTAGGTAGTTGTAGTGTGAACAGGTTTTCTTGAAACAGATAAGGTTTGTCTATTTCCAGGTTTTTTCCAGATTTCTCCTTCTTGATGGACCCTGCACTCCATATTTTTGTCTCCCCAGGACAGTGAAATTAGCAAAGTTTTGACTTAGCATTTTAGTCTCTTTGCTGCTACTTTCTGCTTGGTTTTCTAATATGCACATGTCTTGAGGGCAAACAGTGCACAGGATATAGGACTTAGTTTTGTCAGGGTGTCACTTTTGCAGTTTATTTTTCTCTGGAATCGTGTCTACTTGATAAACCTGAACTCTAGTTTTTGTCTAGTCAATCCAGCAAAACTGCTGCAGGTTTCAGGCTTTTTTCTTGTCCTCTGCCCTGTGCCACAAATCAACAAATGCTCTGATGGAAAACAGCTGCAGGAGAATCCCCTGCAAATCCCCCTGGGATCCTGGACTTTGTCCAGGATATGCCATAGTTGCTTTCAGCACTATATTTTTTTAAATCTAATCTGGTAGTTACTGTCAGTGGAAGGAGTTGTATTTTTAAAGTAAAATAGTAAAATTAAAGTGTGAAAAGTATAATCGCTAAATTAAGGAATGTGAAATTTAGAAGTTCTCATAAAACCCCTTGTCCAAGGGCCACTCCTTGGGTAAAGCTTCTCAGACTCTCCTAATATCATTGCCATTCTTATCTGTGGCACCCTAGGCTTTGCCACTCTGTTCTGTCTATGTATATTTCTCCTACTATGTAGTGAAGCCTAAGACAGGGCCAGTCGACTATATTTTCTTAACTGCAACACTTGACAAATAGGTCATAAGCATAAATGTTGAATAAATGAATTGTCCTTTACTTGAATTCACCTTTGAAGTTAATTGTAGTCCTTTCTTTGAGTTTTTCAAGTTTCACTGTATTCTGCATGACATTGACTAGGGAATGAAAAGGGGAAGAACATTTGGTTACAAGATATGAAGTAGTCAGTAATCTTGTTGGAAAATCACAACACATGTGATATATACATGAGCAATACAGAACTGCCAGAGTGATAGCTGTAGTGTGAAGAACTGTCAGATGTGTATGATGCAGTGGCTCTAGCTGGACCAGGTAAGTGCTGTAGAAATTAATATTAACTATAAATGTATCATTGTTATTTGTTTTCTGTAATTTCAGGTGACTCTAAGTGAAGGTCCTCACCATGTAGCCTTGTTTAAGGATAGTTCTCGGGAGTTTGATCTTACCAAAGAGGAAGATGTAAGTAGAATTCATCCAAGGCTTATGTGTGTAACTTTATAAGCCCTGTGAGCTTTTAAGACAATTAAATGGAATATCTGTGAACTAATATTTTCTTTGAATTTTGTTATCTTCCTTTAACAGCTTGCAGCATTAAGACATGAAATAGAACTTCGAATGAGGAAAAATGTGAAAGAAGGTTGTACAGTTAGCCCTGAGGTAAGAGTTGCAGTTTATTTCAAAATGTTTTATAGAAGTGCATTGTTTATAGTTTCAAGTAAATTTCAGTATTGGTATTGATGTTTGATTATAGCTGTCCCAAGATACAGAAATTTTTTGAAAAATAATCTAAATAATGTATCATTTTGTAGATAATATTCTAGAATAATTACTTTTAAGATTAGAACAACTTTTTTTTCCCAAATGTTTCATCTGAATGGATGAGATGCTGAATTTTCAGAATATATAGCACCAAAAAAATTCTTAACAACCCCCCCCCCAATTTATGTTTTTTCTTCCTGAATAGACTATATCCTTAAATGTGAAAGGCCCTGGATTACAGAGGATGGTGCTCGTCGACTTACCAGGTGTGATAAATGTAAGTATAGACAAAACATGATTTTTTTTTTTTAATTTCTACTGTGGGTAACATTTATAATGACATTTAAAACCTTTTTCTTCAAGACTGTCACATCAGGCATGGCTCCTGACACAAAGGAAACTATTTTCAGTATCAGCAAAGCTTACATGCAGAATCCTAATGCCATCATACTGTGTATTCAAGGTAAATCATACTAAACAATTTTAGTTACATTGATATGCTTTCTTTAGTAATCCAAGCTTCACCCCCAATAATGCACATTATGTAAATGTACAAGACAAATAGATGTTTACTTTTCCTTTTTTTTTTTCATTTTATTTGAATATAGAATTGAAGTTGAGGATATTTTCATATTTTTCATTCTAGGAATCATAGAAATTTTTATTGTTCATAGTTTCCTTTCATAAGTAAGGTAAATGTATTAAGAAAATGGTTCTTGTTATAAAGCAGACATTAACTATATAGTTTGTATTTACTTTGCAATTATTATAGTGTCATTTTTCAACTTTTCAGATGGATCTGTGGATGCTGAACGCAGTATTGTTACAGACTTAGTCAGTCAAATGGATCCTCATGGAAGAAGAACCATATTTGTTTTGACCAAAGTAGACCTGGCAGAGAAGAATGTAGCTAGTCCAAGCAGGGTGAGAGCAAATTGTTTATTATAAGAACAGATTCTTCATAATAGCTCTAGCTGTAATAGGGATTGGTTAATTTTTTTTATTTTTTAATCTTTGTTAGTATTTATGGAATTTGATTCCTATTTTAAAATGAAGTATCAGAAAATTATAGTAAATTACTCAAGTGTAATTTTGGAATATAAATAAAATTCCATGTATATTGTAACTAATTTACTTACAAAATATTTTAAACTGCTAATGTTTGCCTTCCCTTCCTTTCTTCCACAAATCAGTGGTAGTATAGATTTATTTTGGATCTTACATATGCCATTTTACTGAAGGAAGGATTATCTTCTCTCATTCATCAAGACTGTGTGGTATAGCAGATGTTTTATTGAGCATCAGGCTCCAGCTTTCATCCATGCTCCACTATCAACTGGTTGTGTGGTCTTAGGCAAACTTAATCACTTTTCTGTATCCAGTCAATCCAGAATCCAGCCCATTAGTCTAGTTGCTAGATAAAATCTAAGATCATTTTCATTTTTTAAATTCTGTGAGTTCTATATGTAGTATTCAAATGTCTCTTATCTTAGGAAAATATGTTTAGAATAATTTCATTGAAATCTGTTAACAGCTTTCCTATTTCTACCCCCTCCTTGTGTGTCTTATTAGGGTTCAAGTCTTCTCTTAAAGATGTTCTCTATTTACTTGTAAAGACAGAAACTTCTGTGTTAAGAGTCTAGAAATCTGTAGCCAGATTGCTTAGCTTCAAATCCTGGCTTTATCATTTGTAGCTGTGTAATCTTGAGTAAATTTTTTTTAACTTTTCAGAGCTTAAGGCTTCATCATCTGGTGGAATGAGGATATTCATGGTACTGTCTTATAGGTTGTGAAGGTTTAATGAGTTTAATAAATATGGTAAAGTGGTTGGAATAACGCTTGGCACAGAAGTATTTGTTATATACATGGAAGCTATCATCTTTGAGTAATATTGTCCTACTCGTGTGTGACAACAGCTTTAGACTTTGGTACCCAGCCCCACTGCTACTTCATAGAATGTGTCCTTCCCATTTTACACCTTCTGGGACTATTCCTCGGTATCTGGAGTCTCCCAAACAGACCAGCCCTAGGTTCAGTGATTCTACAGAAGAACCCACAGGACTTACCACATAGTTATATTTACACCTAAGGTTTATTACAGTGAAAGGATACAAAGGAAGTCTGGCAGCCACAAATTGCTCGTTAGAGACTTCACACCTAAGGTTTTTTGTCAGATAGACATCCTCATGTACCAAAATTCCAGACTCCCACAAGGAAGGCACATTGTTCAGCATAAACCACATTACTTGTACAAAGAGCCACTGTCATTTAGAGTAAGTTTTATATCGGTATAGGGGATTGTTTATCAGTTAAGTTCCCAGATGCCAGGAAAAGGAAGCAGGCCTTTTTCAGGATTCTCTCAGGCCTGCTGTATTAACTCTCCATATCCTCATGACCTCCGCTGTGCCTTATTTTTAAGAGTAAGGCCTGATGTGGCTGTATTGGTCCTGATGTAGAGGAGAGAAGTAAAATAGAAACAAATTTCTGTGGCCTCCATTTCTCTCCAGACCTTTCTTTCTTTTTTTTTTTTTTTTCCTCTCCTTTGTAGGATAGTCAGTTTGAATTTCATCTGAATTGGAATTAAAGTTTATTTTGTTCTTTTTCATGTCAAAGATTCAGCATTAGCCTAGATTGTAATGAGTCTTAGAGGAGGAATTCCTACCCCAGTATTCATCTGAATGGGCCTCAGGGGTAGAAACTCTTATATTTTCTGTGCATATATATACTTTTCTGGGTTTAGCATCTAGTTTTTATCACATTCAGAAAAAGGATTTTTGACACTGGACAAATAGAGAACCAATGGGTCCAACTATTAAAAAAGGAGGTGGGGGAAGGAGAAAGAAGAAAGACTAAAAGAAGACAATCCAGCTTGTTTAGAGRTTAGATATTTGAAGACACTGGGGAAATAATAATAAAAATTTGAGTGCTTTTCTTTGCCTATTCGAAGTATTGTATTATCTCATAATCTCAACAACCTTTTTGAAAAAATTAAGGCTACATAGTTGTTCAGTGGCAGAGCAGGAATTCAGAGATTAACTCCAAAGCACTACATAATCATTCCAAGTTTTAATTTCAGTGCATATGTTTTAATAAGACATTTTAATAGTAAAATTAAATGTATTTGTTTTTCTCAAATAGCAGTTGAATTATATTTAAATGCTTTTGTACATACTAATATATTTTGCTCAACATGTATAGCATCACAAATTATTTTGCTTTCTAAATTATGTATTGTCCTTTTAAAAATTATGTAAGCTTCTATCTCATTTATTTTTCCTACTTTTAAAAACAGATTCAACAGATAATTGAAGGAAAGCTCTTCCCAATGAAAGCTCTGGGCTATTTTGCTGTTGTAACAGGAAAAGGTATGCAAGATGGATTATTATAACTCATTTTCAGTTTTTTTTTTTCAAGTAATAAATATTAATTTCCTTGATGAAAATTTGATCATCATTTTTTTCCTTAGGAAATAGCTCTGAAAGCATTGAAGCTATAAGAGAATATGAAGAAGAATTTTTTCAGAATTCAAAACTTCTAAAGTAAGTATCTTGCAAAAGTATTTTAAAATTTAAATTGAGGGGATAGTTTAAATCTTTTCACTTAAAAAGTCATTGTTTTGTAGCTATTAATTGAACATGGACTTTTTTCCCCAACTAGTGGTCTGTATCTAATAAGCAAGTTCTTCAGCTACTCTGACAGAATTGGGAACAGTTTGTCACATAGTACGCACATGCAGGGAAGATAAATTGCCCCCGAAGATGTGGACACTGGAAGACAGCACTCATACCTCCTATATTATTTCACTTAGAAAGTGATTTTTTAAAATTAGCATTTTCTTTTTAAAATATGTGTTCATATTTTGTTTTAAAGTATTAGGGAAAGTTGAACTGAGGTTGTCAAAAGAATATCTCTGAATAAGTATTATCAGAATTTAATAGAGGTATTGACTAAAAAGGAAAAGCTAAAAGGGCAATTGAATTATATTAAATCTTTATACGTAGAGTGTTTCTGGAAATAGAATAGTGTATCTGCCAACAGCCTACAGAAGTGTCTATTGGGAAGAACTGACAGACATGGAACTGTGCTGTTAATACAACAGTTGCTAGTCTGCAATTATTAAAAATTTAAATTAGTTAATATTTGATAAAATTAAAAATTTTATCACACTCAGGAAAGGATTTTTAACACTGGACAAGTAGAGAACCAGTGAATCCAACTATTTTAAGGGCTCAGTAACCCTATATGGCTAGCAGTTACTCTATTGGATTGCCCAGTTGTGGAACTTTTCCTTCACCACAGAAAGTCATACTTGACAGTGTCGTAACTTATATAAAAGATATAAGTGGCTATTCTCATAACACACAGGTGCATTCTCCAAGTTAGTGATAGTATTATTGTCCCTTTACCGTTTGAATATATTTTAGCTCTTGTTTGTTTCAATAGGACAAGTATGCTAAAGGCACACCAAGTGACTACAAGAAATTTAAGCCTTGCTGTATCAGACTGCTTTTGGAAAATGGTACGAGAGTCAGTTGAACAACAGGCTGATAGTTTTAAGGGTAAGTTGGATTTTTAAAATAAGCAAACAAATTTAGACATTTTATTAGCTGGCAATCTTCAGCATCCATCATGTTTCACTCCCTTTCTTTATAGTTGCCTAGAAGTTGTACTTGATTTACTGTTAGACAATATGTGGAAAATGGAAAAACACAAACCTTTGGTGTGTCATTAATTATGGGATTTTCCCTTTGAGAAGAAACATTGCTAGGAGCCATTACAGAGTATTAAAAAAGTCAAGAAGTTTGTAGTAATGCTTGAGAGGAAGCTTACTTACTAAACTATACAGAACTTCGATTCTCTCTTTATAAAGAAATGTGAGGAAACATGTTGGGACGCAGAGCACCCTGTGCTTCAGCTACATTGTCCTGTTTTCTTAGTCCCACAATTTATTGCTCTGTGTCTTTCCTTACATAGCATCACCTGGTGAGAATATAGTCTTCTCTTTTCCCATTTGGAAAATTTATATATTTATCTTACTTAGTACCTGAGCAACCTGTTAAGTATTATTTTTATTCCCATTTCACAGAAGAGAATACAGGTGCAGAGTAATTTACACAACTGGTGTCACATAGCAGTTAGACTGAGGATTTAAATCTTAGTGGTCTAACTCCAGATCCTTCTTTTAGCAGCCATACTAAGCTGCTGCACCTGTTTGTGAAATGGGAAAACTAGAATCAAAGAAAATATTAGATAACTATTGTAATTATAAAATTCTGAGATGTTAAGAACCCAGAGTACTAAGGAATCATAGGTGCACCCTCAGAAATCCGGTTGATACAGAAGATATGCAAGATAGCCTTTCACCATTACACCTGAGAAGAAAGAGAATCATGGGGCTGGGGTTGTCGCTCAGTGGTACAGCACTTGCCCAGCATATGCGAGGCACTCGGTTTGATCTTCAGCACCACATAGAAATAAATAAATAAATAAATAAGAATCATAAACTTAAAACAGTTTTCTTCTTCCTCAGCAACACGTTTTAACCTTGAAACTGAGTGGAAGAATAACTATCCTCGCCTTCGAGAACTTGATCGGGTAATATATGGTACCTCGTATATTTTGTAGATATTTTAATTTACTGTATTCTAACAGAATTGATGTTAATGAGAGATCTTATTAGCTAAATTGCTTTGGTTTGGACTATAATATAGACACAGTTATCTCTTCTAAAATAAATTGTTTACTATATTTCATAATGTAATTAGGTATCATAAGATATCAAAACAAGTGTTAAAATGTTTCCTGAGAATTGAAGAATATTCTTTAAAGTGTAATCAAAAATTTTTAAAACTTACCTTTCAGCATTTTACCTTACAGAAGTAGACTCTAATTTAGTGGAAACTGAATATTGCTTTTCCTTAATATTAAAATACCATTTGTTGTAAAACAACCAACCAACATTTATTTACTATTACACTAAATAGATAAATATTGTTTCATATAACATCAGTAATATGGAAATCTTTGGGGAAAAAATGGCTAATGAAAACCTACATTTGGAATTGAGTAAGGTGGTCATTTATATCAGTATTTATATCACTTTTTTTTTTTTGTCCTTATCTGGATAATGATATTTCAAAAAAAAAATCAAATAAATAGATTATAAGAGTATTTTTGCTAGGACTGCATATTTATGCATAAATTCAGCCTACTACCCTACCAAAGGCTTTCTTTTGGTTTCCTTAAAATCATAACAGGGCAAATTTATTGTCTTGCAAAAAATCTTACTTGTATCTATATTGCCTAGAATGAACTATTTGAAAAAGCTAAAAATGAAATCCTTGATGAAGTTATCAGTCTGAGCCAGGTTACACCGAAACATTGGTGAGTATTTGACTTTGCCATTAATCCCTTGTCTCAGTGATGTTACTATTTGAATTAAATGAAATATGCAAACTTAGATTGATAAAGCAGTGTTTATTGTTGCATAAAATTATATCTTTGCAAGATGTCTGCTATTGTAATCTAATCATTGAATTTCTGGAAGATAACTTTCTACATGGTCTTTTAAATCTTTGGCTTTTCTTTACAGTTAATAAATATATAATCATGTTTTCTATAGAATCATTTAGGTGAAGTCTTCATAAATTCTGCTTTATATACATAGCAAACAATCTATTAGAATTCGTTGTTAGATTAATCATAGAGAAAAAAACTGTAGAGAAACTTGTTTTATAAAGAGAAAGTAGTATATATTCCCAAGTTCTCATTTTAGAGTAAGGACAGTTATTGCATTCTAAACATACTCCTTGCTATATTGTATACAGATCACATTTTCAAGATTTGTTATTTATTTATTTATTTTTGCCTTTTTACCTCTGCAGCATTTTACCTAAGGTAAATTCTCATAAGAATCTCTTTTAACGTGAAGGATCACCTTCAGTTTATGTTTTGTGTTAATTTGGGCATTCTTAAATTTGTTGGATTGGGCATTATAAACAAATAAACTATATGTACCTCAGTCAGCTATATAAAAGTAGCTTTGAAATTTTTGCAATCATTATATTGATTAATAAATTCTTTGTGCCTAAATTATTTTCCATACATGGTCTATGGTATATTTAAGAATTTATCATTCTTGTAGCAAAACTATTCTTACCACCATTCATGATAAATATTTTTAGCACCTTCTATGTTTGCTCAGTTGAAGGTTTTCACCACCAAGTCAGGACACTAGTGTCTAGTCCTTAAATTTGAATTTGGTTTCACTAGTTTCCCCATCCCAGTGTCCTTTCTTCCTCAGTAATGATCCTTCCTCTCTCTTAGTCAATATTTGCCCTCCTTTTTTTCTTTCCTGTACTGGGATCAAATCCAGGAGTGCTCTGCCACTCAGATACATCCCCAGCCCTTTTTAGTTTTGTATTTTAAGACAAGGTCTCTCTAAATTCCCAGACTTGCCTCTCAAGTTTGCCATTCCCATCTCAGCATCACATTTAAGTAAGATCTGTTTAGCAGTACTTGACCATTTTTAATCTTTCCTTAATCCTCACCCCACAAAAAAGAGATCTGATCTTATCTATACTTGTTGATTTATTAATCATATATATATGATACAACTTCTTATGTTTGATATATTTATGTTTTAACCTATTTGCAGTAGTGTTGTGTAAGTCAGTTAGCTTTTGAATTTGCAAGAAACAGATACATAAATATTTGTGTTTAGATGCAAATACAGAACTAATTGCTTTGTCAGGTTGTATGAGAGTAATGTTCATAAATGATTTGTAAACTAAAACATAATCATTTAGTTTATGGGAGGGAAAACTGATCCTTCTGCTAATTAATTTCTGGCATCATCAAATGGAAACCTTAGTTTTGGTTGGACAGAGCAATCCTGAAATCAAAGAATATCTACACTGATGCAAACCCAGAAGATAAATCTAATTTATTTAATACCAGGGGGCCAAATGGATAGTGAAGGAATAAGAAACCTGTACTGCAAGATTGACCATTGAAAAGGCAAGGGTGAGAACTGTGACATCTGGCTCCTGGAGAATTATTTCTGTGAGCTGTCAATCAGATGATTCTCTCATCTTTTCATTGACTTTTTTTCCTTCAGACTCTAGAGCTTAAAAGGACATGAATCACAAGAACAAGTCCTAATCTAACTTTATGCCACATTGAATTTAACTGCACTACACTAAAAACATTTAATTTTTGTGACATGGTTGATATTGCCTTATAAATTTTTATTGGTATCTCTTGCTGCATAATGTCTTGTGATGTTTTAGGACACATGCCTAATGTCTATATAATTATTTAAATCACAGGACTGATTTATATTTCAGTGTTATAAGCACCTTAGCTCCTAACATTTTTTTATTCATTTGTAGACATTGAACTGTATTTTAGTTGTGTTTTTAAAAAGTTGGGGTTTTGATTTGACAAATATTGGATTGTAGACTCTGTCAGCATTTCTACATAAAGTACTTGGTTTTCAAGAACCAATTATTAATATAAGTAGGAGATACTGGCATATCATTAACATGTTACCATCAACAAGTATATGTCTTTTCCAGTAAGAGAGTTAGTTGGCTTCATAGATATGGACTTTAAAAAGGTACTCTGGTATTCATGTAATTTTTGGTGAAAAGTATTGTTTATTTTTAGTTTAAAATAATGAAAATAAAAGTAAAATAGAAAAGCAGAGTTGAATCCCCTAATTCAAGTTTGAGAAATTGAAGAGCTACAAAATCATAATCAGAGATTTAATGGGTGCATTGGTGTTAGGTATCACAGAGACCAGGCAGTAAAAGCAAGAGAGGTGAGCCAGGTAGCTGTGTCTACTGGCTTAGCATAGATGGAGTCAGAAATTAAGAAATAGAACAATAGATGACAGCCAGAATATTAAGTTTTACAAACCATATTCAGAAGCTTAGAATTTATTCCATAAGTGGGCCCATTGAAGAGGTTTAGATCAGATTTATATTTTAAAAAGATCTTTGTGATATAGCAATGGAATACAGGTAGAGAACTAGAAGTAAGGAAGCAGTTGACTGCTACAATAAGAGGTGATGATGGCTTAAATGTGGGTAGTGGTGGTGTAGGTGAAGAAGAGGAGCCATTTTCGAGATATTCAAAAGCTTACCTTAAAAATAGAATTGACAAGATTTGAGTGTTTTGATGGGTAGCTAATGAAGAAGAGTTCATTAAGCGAATATATTTATATCCAGCAATGACATTACTAGGAATATATGAAAATGAAGATATATTTGACAAAGATGAACACAGAAGAATCTTCACCTTGGTTTTGTTTATAAATGTAAAAAATAATGGACAGTAACTTACGTTTTCTATTCAGAATTACATAGTATTTGATTTTCCTATATATTACTGTGCAGCCACTAAAAAATACAGGATGTTGACATGGGAAACATCATGTACATTAAGATTTGTAAAAAGCATTTATAAACTAGTATGAATAATATGGTCCACTTGTGTAAGTACACACACCCACATACAATATTTATATAAGCACTATACTTTTTAATAATAAACTACAAAGTGTGTGTCTCCTAGAAAAAAGATTTGGGGGACTTATTTCTCTGTATTGGTTGAAATTATTATATTGAGTAAGTTCTCTTCTTTTCATTTTATTTGTTTGTTTATTTTTTTGATATTGGGGATTGGACCCAGGAGTACTCTATCACTGAGTTACATCCCAGCCCTTTTATTTATTTATTTATTTATTTATTTATTTATTTTCAGGCAGGGTCTTGCTAAGTTAGGCTTAGGATCTAAGTTTCTAAGGCTGGCCTAAAACTTTAGATCCTCCTGCCTTAGCCTCCCAAGTCAACCTGTGATTACAGGCATACACCACTGCAACCAGCATAAGTCCTCTTCTTTCAAAGAAAAAAAAAATCCACTTTAAAAAGTATTTCTTAGTTAAAATGAAATGTAGATCAAGTTCTTGGCGATAAAGAAGGTATAACTACAGTGTTATATGTATTTTATGTATTTGTAGACTATATCCCTGGATGATGGACAAACCTACAATGACGAAATCTATAGAACATGCTAGGGAAATTTTTGGATGATGGCAACAGGAAGGATAGCAGATGGGTACAACCAGATGGGTGTCTTCATAGTACAGGAGTTTTTATGAGAGTTGAGGACTAATGATCTAGAAGAGAGATTATAGGGTGAAGAAAACATAGCTTCTAACTTCCAATTCTGAAGCACATTTAACTGCTGACAGCTTCCATTCAGTAAAACTTGAGGATAATCACTTTCCTTAAGGGAGAGCCAGAAAGGTTTAAAGATAAAAGGAACAGGGAAAGAGTGAGAGTGTAAAATTCCTTATTTGTTATAGAACTGATATTGGGGCCATATTAAAAATAGTGATGGAGGGGAGCAATAGGAGCCTGGGACAGAGGACAGCAACTTGGTGATGAAAGGGTAGGAGAGGCTGTATAAAGGAAAGTGATAGCAGCTGTCTGTTATGGTTAGGAATGGAAAGCAGTAGGCTTGTCAGAATTTGGTACTCTGGATTTTGTTACAGTTTCAAAAGTGTGTCTGGGATGTAGATTCTTGGTCCAAGAGTCCTAAAAAGAAATAACAGATCAGACCTGTTCTGAGGCAGGAGTAGAAAAAAGCCCTAGAGGTCAGAGACTGTACCCTGATCTTCCGTTCTGTTTTCATACGTCTTTCAGTAGGAATCCCTTACAAACTCCTTTTCTTTCATCTTCTTAAATTCATCCACTTTTTGTCATTACTCAGTGACTGAATGGTCTCTGTTCTTTGGGCATCAGTGATGTATCCTTTCCTTGAACTCTAGTTTTCTGGTTATAACTGACCAAAGACCTTAAAATTGGCCAGGTGAAACCAGCAGCTAAGCTCTTTGTTTTGCTTTGGGGCAACAGGGGTGTTTCTATAGCCACTCTGAGCTCTGTGATTGGCCTCCAACATTGACTGAGGTTATGCTGAAGACTGACCATATGATAAACAATGTGGTTTTTTGTTTTCATTTGGTTGGACTTGGTTATACTTTAGTTTTTGTATCCTATTATAGTAAAATTTGGTTCAAGGGAAGACAAATATTTTCTTAAGATTTCACTTTTTTCTTAATTAAAATAATTTCTTTTTCTTATTTAGTGATCTGTTTTCTTAAAATTTCTTACAAATATTTTCAACTTGATCATGCATCTTTTATAGTATTTCTTTAATCATAATGTGTTAAGTTATTTCATCTAGCAATACCATAAAATCACTATGCTTTATGATGTGGTCTGATAAATTGTAAAAATTACATCAAAAGTTTTGTGTTAAACTCTACAGTAAACACATAAAGTATATGTTAATGTTAGACAAATAAGCACATGAAAAATGCATAAAATTATTAGTTATTAGAGAAATGTGAACCACAGGAGATACCACTGTAAACCTGCTACAATAGCCAAAACTACAGACTGAGCATACCAAATGCCATTAAAGACATAGAGGACATAGAACTTGCATTCTTTGCTGGTAGGAATGTATAACGCTGCAAACATTTTGTGTAATAGTCTAGTGATATCTTAAAAAGTTAAACATATAATTATCAAAAGACCCAGTTATTTCACTCTTAGACATTTTCCCAAAAGGAATGAAAGCGTATGTCCTTACAAAGATTTTTAAATGTATTCCCATAACATCTTTACTTGTAATAACCAATAACTAGAAGTAGCCTAAGCATCCATCAGCAGGTGGATGGATGAACAGATTCATTCAATGGAATACTTCTCGTAATAAAAATAAGTGAAATATTAACACATACAACATGATGAATTTCAGAATAATTATGTTGAGTGAAAGAAGACAAAATAAAGTTTTAGAAAGTATAAATTAATCATAGTCACAGTACATAGAGTGGTTCCAGCTTTGGGGATAATAGATATGTTTGTTATCTTGATTGCTGTAGTTCATAGATGTTATACACATGTCAAAACTTTATTTGCAATTTATAGTAAGTTAATGATACTTCAATCAAGCTGTTTTTAGAAACTTATTATATTTAAATTTGATGTTCTTATAATTTTGTTTTGCTTTTCAGGGAGGAAATCCTTCAACAGTCTTTGTGGGAAAGAGTATCAACTCATGTGATTGAAAACATCTATCTTCCAGCTGCACAAACCATGAATTCAGGAACTTTTAATACCACAGTGGATATCAAGCTTAAACAGTGGACTGATAAACAGCTTCCAAATAAAGCAGTAGAGGTTAGGATATAATTTAATTAAATGGGTAAGAAGCATTATCTGAAGAGAGTAGGAGCTGTGAATTTTAGATTTTACTTTCATCACAGCCACTATTTTTCTATTTGGCCTTTATACTTCATTTATGCTTTGTTCCTCATCTCTCTATTGGAACTAACCTTAATGTTGCTACCAGCTCATGTAGATATAAAAATTTGCTAATTGGGATGGTGTTTGCCTGAGGGCATTGGTTCTTCTCCAAAAGATAACATTTAACAAAACCAGCAAAATTTGTTTGAATGTGAAATATATTGAACAACTTAGGAAAATGTTTAATAGATCAAACATTTTATTTATTCATTCTTACAATGCTCAAATTACACTATTTATTTTCATAGGTAGGCTCTTGCCAATTAGACTAAGAATTATAAAAAGTACTTTAAGGAATCCATTTTTGTAACTTGTGTGTCTTGTTTCGACTTCTTAGCTGTGTGATCTTTGGGCTGGGTGTTTAACCTTTCTGTTTTCTCATCTAAAAAACAGAAATGATGCTGTTTCCTACCTCACAGAATTATTATAAGGACTAAATGAGTTCATATATGTAAAAAAATTTTAAATAACACCTGACCCATAGTAACTACTGAGGAAATGATCATCATCATTGTCCAGGCTGACCTGTCCTGCACATTGCTCTGTGCGGAGTATTCTTTGTGAGGTTGCTCACAAAATTAGAGTCAACATTGAAAGTAATTTTTTTTTCACACTGACATTAAAAACAAAGTATCAGTTTCTAATTATTCAGGTGTGACTTCTCCCCTTTCCTGTCCTGCTTCAGTCCTGTGCTGCTTTAACTCTGTTCTCAGTTTCCTCAAGCCTCTCTTTCTTGCTGCCTTTCTGCCTAAGTAGTATGTTGCTTCACACAGTTCTCAAGATACTTACCCTGAATAAAAATTGGTGAGCTACTGCCACCACTTCACTAGCCCTTCTTACTACTGGCCCTAACAGTTTTCTGAGTCCTATCCCATGAGAGGATATTTTCATTCCTAAGATTTAAGTGTAAATGGTAAGTGATCATAAAAACCATGATTTCGTCTCCTGCCACTTACTGTTTTTGTTGTTGTTCTTGTTGTTTGTTTTTTAATGGACAGCATGCCTTTATTTTATTTGCTTATTTTTATGTGGTGGGGAGGATCGAACCCAGTGCCTCACACATGCAAGGCAAGCGCTCTGCCACTGAGCTACAGCCCCAGCCCCACTTATTTTTCCTAACCTTAGGCACAATGGAAAGAACATGGATCTGGTGAGGGTCAGGAAGTGCAGATGTTAATACCTCACAACGCACTGTGTCCTTTTGACAATCATTTGTCTTTATGCCATAACTTCTTATATTTAGAATGAGGGTGTGATAAACAAAGTCCACCATTTAAAAGCCCACTTAATCATAACCAGATTTAGTTCTTAATTATTTTTTAATACTGTATTCTTCCTTTTATTAGATTATTAGGAGCTAGCTATAATACAGTAGTGAATAATGCTTGTATCTTGTTTGTATTCAAGCTATTTTTGAAAGTAATTATGCCTTTTTTCATGTGTTTGCTTAAAGGCAAAGATGTGAAGATAGTTGAATCAATAAGAAATTTTGAACTTTTTATGGTGTAGAAGCCAGAAAACTCAATTGTCTTACAGGTTGAAATGAACAAGTTAACTAAGGCAGGCCCAGTAGCACAAACCTGTAATACCTGTGGCTGGAAAAGCCCTAAGCAATTTAGCAAGACCCTGTCTTGAAATAAAAAGGGTTGGGGATGTGGCTCAGTGGTTAAGGACCCCTGGGTTCAATCCCTAGGACCAAAATAATGATGATGATGATGATGATGATGATGATGATGATGATAAACAAGTTAACTAAATCTGCTAGCCGACTTGGAATGCAAACCTCATCTAAAGGAAGTGGCCCCTATTCAGCTCTACCAGGTGTTGTCATGTGGGAATGTGGGTATATTATTTCCAGATTGTCCATAAAATTTATATGAAGTCACTCAGTTTTTAAATGTTGGTGACTAATTTCTAAAAATTTAATACACTGTATCTGAATAGTCAAACATGTTGGGAATCCAAACCTGTCCCACCCACTACCTAGACTATAGTTTATATTTGCTGCCTTTTTCTTAATGTACTTTCCTTCATATGCATTTCCTGATAAGCTGATTTATCACATCTGTTTGACTTGATTTCATTATTTTTCATATTAAAGTATGTAGTATAAACACAGGGGTTTTTTCTTTTTAAATAATTGTAGGTTGCTTGGGAGACCCTACAGGAAGAATTTTCCCGCTTCATGACAGAACCCAAGGGAAAAGAACATGATGACATATTTGATAAACTTAAAGAGGCTGTAAAAGAAGAAAGTATTAAACGCCACAAGTGGAATGATTTTGCAGAAGATAGTTTGGTATGTCATTTTTTTTAATTAGGATGTCAGCATCATTTTTAACATGATTTCTCAAATTGAGTTTTTTCCATAGGAGATTATTTTTATATGCCTTTTTAAATATTAAATTCTTAATTTAAAATACTAAAGTAAGGAAATAGATTTATTTTCTGTAATCTTCCCTTTAACATTTCTCTGTTCTTCTAAAATCTCTCTCTGCTATTTCATCTTGGCTATCATTTCAGAAATGAGTCAAACTTTGTAGTAAGCGGGCTCCCGTAAACTTCCAAAAATTGTCATCTGTTAGTCATTTTATTGGCCTGTGTGTAGATAACTGGGTCTAAAATCTTTACCATGTGTTCAGTGTTTGCCTTGTGCCAGAAGCTCTGCTTAGCATTTTGCAAGCATTATTTGATGTAATTCTTGGACAGCCCAATTGTCATTGGCAGAACTGGGGTTCAGAGCCTGCTCAGACTGCAGAGTCTAGTTCCTGACCAACATCCAATATTCACCATCATAATCAGACCTTTATTAAGTATCTGCTGTGCTTAGAGAGTCATGAGAGGTACTGTTGAATGAAGGGATTCAGCAGTGCTATAGAAATGTATGTATCTCACCATGAACTGGTTGTAATTATAACTTTGATTTGAAGAAATATTTGTCTTCATGTTGGAAAACTGTTTATTCTTGTTAAGTGCTTTGAAGTCTGGGTTCTTAGAGAGTGATGCTATTTTCATTCATTCATTCTAAAGTTATAAAATTTGGAAACAAATTTTCAGCTAAAACAAACATCTAACATATGATCTAGATCTTTTAAGCATTTATTTACCCTATTACTATTTTTATTGCTTTTAACAATGAAATAATAGTTATTACTTTTTCCTCTTTTTTTAAAAAATACTAATGACAGTTCATATGGCAAAAAAAGAAAGGTGAAGATCATCTAAATTATTAACCCCTGAATATCGAGGTTCTGATTGTTGCATTTTGTGCAGTTCAATGTGTATTATACCTACCTACCACTACCTTTATCTCCCCTTCATTCATAGTTAACTTGTTTAATGTGAGCCAGGAGAGGATCTCCACTGTTTATTTTTTTTAGACAGAAAGATAAGAAATAAGCAGGCAATTAAAAGAGCTCCTGCATTTTGATGGAAGGGATATGTTTTTATGCTATTTTAAATACATCTGTTATTTTGAATATTCACTAAGCTGATATGAAATTACTGAAATAAGGAGACATTAAGTCAAACCCAGCTTTTTTCATTGCTTGTATTGCAGAGGGTGATTCAGCACAATGCCTTAGAAGACCGGTCCATTTCTGATAAGCAGCAGTGGGATGCAGCTATTTATTTTATGGAAGAGGCTCTTCAGGCTCGTCTCAAGGATAGTAAGTATCTTTGAATGTGGGTTCTGAACTGAGTTCTGAACATTTGCAGTGGTGAAGCAGTAGTGAACAGTGTAAAAATAAAATATTTCAAGATTTTCGTCATTCATATAGTTGAATATTTGTTGGATTTTTTAGTCAAGTGTTTTATGACTACTAAAAAGAATAAATAAATTTGATACATGATGTTTACGTGTATTCATATTCTAAAAAGGTATAATTCAGAATATTTGTGTTTGCTGCAGTTTTAGGAGTTCTATAAGCAATTGTACTTTTCATAAATTTTAGACACATAATTCTTTCTTATACATGTACCCATATCAATCATCATTTTTCCTTTATTTCAACTGATTTTATATTGATATGARATAGTTAAGAAAGTAAGATCATTATTAGTAATAATTTTTGTCCTTGTTAAGTAATAAAATTCTTTTTTAAAAAATTTGATTTGTTATGTATAACAACAAAATGCATTACAATTCATATTATACATATAGAGCACAATTTTTCATATCTCTGGTTGTACACAAAGTAAAGTTACATCCTTCATGTTTTCTTATATGTACTTAGGGCAGGGATAACCATTGCATTCCACTAATTTTCCTAACCCTATGCTTCCTCTCTTCCCTTTTCCCTTTTGCCCTATCTAGAGTTCATTTAATCCTCCCCTCCACACACACACACACACACACACACACACACACACCATATTATGGCTCAGCATGCTTAAAGCAGAGAAATAATTCGGCAGTTGGTTTTTGGGGATTGGCTAATTTCACTTTTCATTATATCTCTAGCTTCATCCATTTACCTGCAAATGCCATGAATTGATTCTTTTTTAATGCTGAATAATATTCCATTTTGTATATATACCACATTTTCTTTATCTATTCATCTACTGAAGGGCATCTAGGTTGGTTCCACCTAAATGTTAGTTCATATGGCAAAAAAGAAAGGTGAAGATCATCTAATGGGCTGGGGATGTGGCTCAAGCGGTAGTGTGCTCGCCTGGCATGCGTGCGGCCTGGGTTCGATCCTCAGCACCACATACAAACAAAGATGTTGTGTCCGCCGAAAACTAAAAAATAAATATTTTTTTAAAAAAGAGCATCTAAATTATTAACTCTGGAATATCGGGGTTTAACTATTGTGAATTGTGCTGCTATAAACATTGATGTGGCCGTGTCCCTGTTAGTATGCTGTTTTTAAGTCCTTTGATGAATTAATTTAAGTTTTTTTTTTTTTTTTTTCTAGCTGAAAATGCAATTGAAAACATGATAGGCCCAGACTGGAGAAAAAGGTGGATATACTGGAAAAATCGGACCCAAGAACAGGTAAAAACGACTCTGTGGTCTCATAATAATATAATTTTGTTCATTTTAATTCAAGCATTAAAATATAATCTTTGCCTGGCTCTAGATCAATCCTAAGAATTTAAAATATTTTATATTTGCCTTTCTAAGATATAATGAATCTTTAAAATAAAGAATAAACTATCTGAGAAGGTTTTAAAAGTCAAGTAACTGTGTTAATAAAAGAAAATGAAGATAAAACATGACCCTTTTTTGGCTGACTACTTTGTTTATTTCAGTTCTCTACTTGAGATTAAGGAAAAAAAAAAAGATTGGGATGGGGCTGTAGCTCTGGCAGAACACTTATCTAGCACAGGTGAGGCACTGGGTTCAATTTTTAGCACCATATAAATATAAACAAATAAAGTAAAGGCATTCTGTTCATTTACAACTACAAAAAAAAAGGATTAGTTATGAACAGAAAAAAACTGAAAAGGATTTCAAAAGATGCATAGAATATGATTAGGAAGAAAAATAATTAATGATTTTTGCCGTATTTTGTTCTCCCTAGATTTTTCTGTTGGAAATCTATTCAAATTATTTTATTGCTTTGTATATTTTGTTCCTGTGTTTGCAATGTAAATATAAAAATTCACACAGGGCATAGTTACAGAATTTGTTCCTTTAATAAACGTTAAAAGAGCACTTCAGAAGAACAAAATGGAAAAGTCTAATGATAAATAACTAAAAATAAGTAAATTGCAGAAAAATGTATGTCATTCATGTCCTCATCCCTGCCTTCACCACTTTTTTTCCTTCTTTGTTTTTAGCTTGTTTTCCTGTCTCACTTTCAGGCTTATACCTCTGTTCTTACACTTATTCCTTAAATGAATCTAAATAGAATATAGAATCTAAATATACAAATGAATGAAGTTGTAAGAAAAAGGTAACATCCAATCTACTTTCTGTTCTTGTTTTGTTTTTTTGTACCCATTTAATTAGAGAAAAAAATGGCTAAAAAGTAGAAAAATTGGGAGAGGAGATAAAAATAATGAAAAATTACCTAAGGACATGCACTTTGTTCTTTATATTTTTATTTTCATCTTAAATAGTTGAATTAAATAATCAACACCCTATTTTCTTCTAACTTTTCACATTTCTTGTTTCATAAGATATCCGATTTCTCAACTTGGCTCAAATATTGAATACAGTTCCCTCTCCCAGCCCCATCTTTCTCTTCCTCTCTCCTTCTCTTTTTTCCTCTAAGACTTTTGTGGAAAATGACTCATTAAGAGCTTGCATAGAAGCTGGGAAAGTAGACAGAGTGGGTGATTAGAATATGTGTTTAGGGTACATCAATTATCTCTCCTGTACATATGGGCTGAGAGGAGGGGATCTGTCAGAGGAGGATTTCTGGGGAATCCATTAGAGGCTTCTGACATTTGAGACAGGAAGAGGCATTGATTGATTACAAAGTGCTGGTGTAAGACAGATAAACTCAAGAGAAAATTGAATGAATTTTCAATTCAAGCTTAGGGGAAATTGGGCCTAAAATATCCATAATAATCAACAGTAGCAGAACTTGCCTTAGCATCTAGTGGTAAATATCCTTTGCCAGAACATACTTGGAAAAGATTCCTGATTATCAGGGTTTTTAAATTTTTTTTTTTTTTTTTTTTTTTTTTGTTTACTAGAACTGGAAGAGAAGTAAAGGAATTTATTTTAAGGTCATTGCAAAAGATGTGTAAGCCTGGATGAGCAAGAGAAGAGCTTTCTTTTTCAGAGAAGAGCTTTCTCTCCCAAAAATTACAGGGCAACATGTGTACCCAGCTGACTGAACAGAGGCGACATTTAGGCTGTGGAGAGAGACACTTCTGAATCACCTGGGGAGATGTTTTTATATTAGTTTTTTCCTTCAAAAGATAGCCTTGTGTCAGACTTGCAAGTCAAGTTATATTCTGACCTTCAATCCTTCCTACTCCTGGTTGGTTCTATACCTCACACTCAGAAATTACCATAGAAAACAAATTCTAGAAGAGGTTGAGAATAGCTCCAGGTCTCATATTGCAAGTTTAGGTAGCTATGTTACAGTTCTGTCTTGAGTAACAGGATTTAGCAGGAAAGGAAAAAAGAAAAAAAAAAAAAAAAGATTGTCCTGTGAAATTAGAAATACATGCTACGTGCTCTGAAAAGTATTTTTTATTTTATGTTTTCCTTAGATTCCTAGGAAAATCATATCCTTTGAAACATTTTCACTTGTCTGAGCTGAATTAATTTTTAGGATAAATAAGAGAGAAGTTGTCTTTTGAAGACTAAGTGTCATGGTGAAGTGCTTGATGTCTAGGAAGGTAGAAGTGAAAATGCAGGCCAGGGCGAGTTAGAGGGAACTCCTTTAACAGAGATTTCCTTCCTACCTCAGACTGAATAGAAATATTTAACCAAACAGTGAATGCCTCTTTACTAATATTTCTCCTAATGTGCCATATCTTCAGAGAGTAGTAATTGGTACTTCTATTTACAAGCTAATTAGTTGCATTTAAAAGTGTTATTCTTGTTTAAAAACTTATATTCCATAGTTGTGGTACAGTTTGGAGCAAAGTCTTGTTGTAACTTGTTTAGAGTAATAGATTTTTTTTATCATACAATTTTAAATGAAGGATTGAAAAATGAAAAATTAATTTGACACAGTATAAAAGTCTTGTTTTCAAACTTATAATGTGTGTTTATGTGTATTATATCTGTTTTCCTTCTTTGCTGAGCTTTATGAACAATTATAGAGAAGAGGCTGAAAGTGAATCATTTAAGAATGATAAGTACCTCACAGGAACAGTCTGAAGTGTGATTTTTAATGAAAAGACTTTTTTAAAATGTCAAACTAGCATTTTGTATTTAGTCAGGGAAAAAAGGTCAACAGATCTGAGTTCTCTTGGGCATTTGTAGAACATCTTTTCTCGTTTTCAGAGTTCTTTTCCCTAAGCCTAAAGTAGGTGGAGAAAAGGAAGTATATAGTAAGATACCTGGTGCTGTGACTTCAATAGTAAAACATTGCAACAAGAGTRAAATTTAATAAATAGGTCTGATTCCTATTTTTCCCCCTTTTTAAGGCAAATTGCCCCGCATTCATAGATCACTTACCCATATTTGTGTTAGGATACTGTGTGTTTTTCTTGCTGTGATTAAGCTTATGTCACCTATTATGCAATAGCGATGTACCTATTAAAATTGGACTCTGTTTTTACAAGTGCCAAAGTAAAAGCATCTAAGCATAGTCCTCTTTTCAACATTTTAAAGTCTGTTCACAATGAAACAAAGAATGAATTGGAGAAGATGTTGAAATGTAATGAGGAACACCCAGCTTATCTGGCAAGTGATGAGATAACCACCGTCCGAAAGAACCTGGAATCCCGAGGAGTAGAAGTAGATCCAAGCTTGGTAATAAATATTGCTGAAAAACACAAATCTGCTTTCTTAATCATTGTTTTATGCAGTACAATGTTATTGCTTCTAATGTGTTGCATAGATATCTAACTGCTTAATGTTATTTTATTTCCACGTTTGCTGACATGAAAACTTGGTCATTTTTATTATATGAAGTTATTTTGTGAAGAAATGTTATGCTCAATATTGCTTTTTAAAGGGTAATCTATAAATAGGAAATTGAAATTTAGAAAATTGGATTTTCTTGGGCAAGTTCAGCAGTTCTTGCAAAAAAGGATGAAACTGACCCATATCTCTGCATCACGTCACACTGTTTTAGATTGCAAAATAGAATTTCTGTTTAAATATGGCTCATTTCTGCACATATATTGTATATGTTTTGCAGTCAAGTATAGATATGATAGATTTAGAAAAAATATGAGTGCTTTTATTGAATTGGATAAGACCTTTGTATTTTATCTCATTTTCTTTATTTATGATAAATAAGAGGACAATCTAAACTTCAGACTACTTTTTGCTTACTTTCATAATGATTATTTGCAACAAATTTTTAAAAAACAAAATAAAACTTTACAGGTCTCCATTTCCTGCTAGAAAATAAAGGATTCAGAAGCTCCTTTTAATATTAGCTTAAGTGAAAAACCCAGTTAGAAAAGTTAATCTAGTGGGGAGAACAGTCATATAAAAATTTCAGAATCACCCATAAGATTTTTTTAAAGATTATGTTTCTGCATTTGAGAAATAAATATACTTGCTTTAAATTTCACAAGAAAAGAAAAAACTGGTCAACATGAAAGTAGTTAAAGCTATTATAAAACTAACATTATTTATAAATTGAACATGAGATTTTTAGTTGAGTATAGATTTAATTTGTCTACATTGGTCTTTACTCTTATTAACAAAAAGTTGTACAGATTAAGCATCCCTAATTCAGAAATCTGATATCCTGTAAAATCTGAAACTTTTTTAGCTCCAACTTGATGCCACAAAAAGAAAATTCTAATCCAACCTCATGTAGCTGGTTATAGTCAAAATTCAGGGGCACTAAAAATATTGTATGAAGTTACCTATAGGCTGTGTGGGTGTATATAAACATAAATGAATTTCATGGTTAGACTTGGGTCCTGTCCCCAAGAATTCTTGTTGTATGTATGTGGATACTTCAAAATATTCTGAAATCTGAAATATGTCTGGTCCCAAATATTTTGCTTAAGTGATACTCTTCTTATATTCAGTTTGATACTTTTAAATTTATGTTGATTTGGTTAATACAGTAGGAAGGAATTTCTCTTAATAGTGGAGTAGAAAATGTTGTATGATTTTTTTAAAGCTTTTGCCCATATCTAAAGATATAGATTGTATATATATATATCCATATATATATGGATATATATATAATATATATATATATATATATATATATATATATATATATCTTCCTTTCTGTAAGCAAGAGAAATCTATTTTTTTTAAGTGATACTTTGTTTAGTATATCTTACAAAAATCTAAAATAAGAAGCCAAATGCCATCACAAGAATATTGGATGTCAGGAGTTCTAAATTCTAATACAGTTTTATTATATTACCTTTAATAATTGATAGCTCTCTGAGCCCCACTTTGCCTATCTGTCAAATCATGTTGTTGATACTTGTTTTGTTTGTCTCCTTAGCATTATTCGTGTTATATTCAAAGAAAGACAATAGGTATGAAGAAGCATTGAGCTCTAATACTATTATGTAGTAATAAAGTGGTAGGGATCATACTGGTATGATAGCGGTGATGTTTAATTATCAAAAAGGAAATATTAGCTGGGCACAGTGGCACACGCCTGTAATCCCAGCAGCTCGGGAGGCTTAGACAGGAGGATTGTGAGTTCAAAGCCAACCTCAGCAAGTTGACGAGACCCTGTCTCTAAATAGAACATAAAAAAGAGCTGGGGGTATGGCTCAGTAGTTAAGTGTCCCTGGGTTAAATCTCCAGCACCAACAAGAAAAAATATTGTTGTTCCAAGAACAGATTCCTGGTCCTAATTCTGCCTTTCAACCTGTTTTTTGCCTTGGTTTCCTTTGTCCTGATTAGGCAAGGATAATTCCCGAGCTATCTGTTCTACAAATTGGTTGAATAAAACAACAAGCTTGTTTAAAACATTGCATGTTTTGAAATACATAAACTAGTAAATGTAATTTTGGCTTGAAAAACAATGTAAGTGAATAAAGAAGGTTGATAAAATAACAACCTTGGTGTTGCTTTTAATTAACATTTTTGTAATAAATTTTATGTATAACTTCTTGGTGTGATTGATCAATGTGAAGAGTATAAAATAACACTCTAATTTTTGTTTTCATATTTTAGATTAAGGATACTTGGCATCAAGTTTATAGAAGACATTTCTTAAAAACAGCTCTAAATCATTGTAACCTTTGTCGAAGAGGCTTTTATTATTACCAAAGGCATTTTGTAGATTCTGAGGTAAGGTTTTCCAAAACAAAGGGAAATATTTTTTAGCAATAGTTGTTTAAAGATATTGAAAATTAAGCTTTAATTTTAATATGAATTTTAAGTCCTTTGTTCATCTAGAAAATATATATAGTTTATAAAAGGTATTCTAACTCATCTTTTCAAATATATGTGCTACTTTGGTAGTGACTACATCTACCATACGTATCATTCCCAGTGCCTCTAAAGAATGTAAAAGAATATGTAAAATAAATAATCACTTATACTCCTTAGACTTCAAAGTTATTTTAGTTAGCATTTCTATGTGCTTCTGATCTTTAACTTTTTCTGGGGAGTGTATGTGTGTAGTATAATAATCCATTTGCATAATGGAAATCATACAGCAAAGCAATTTCTATTTTAAGTCTATCATATATCTTAATTATTTCTTCATATCACTAGAATCTTGTTTTAAATGATTCTTTAAAAGAACTAAAGTCGTAATAAACTGTTTTATAGTTTAGAACATTTTTTTAAGTAACCCCTAGATGGCAGCAGACTGATGTGTTTTGACCATTTTTTAAATAAGTAAAAGTACTTTTAAATATCCTTTTGAAAAAGCTGTATTTGTGAGACCTCTAAAACACTTTTCTGTTGTTTTCAGCAGCTTAAAATAAATCTGTGTTTAAATGAACCTATATAAAAATGTCAAGTTTCTTGCATAACTTTAATTGTTGAAAAGAAGGTTTCGTAACAGAATAAGCTTTAAAAAAAATGACTTGCACACTCAAAGAAAAGAGGTTAACTTAAGGACATATTTAAGACAAACATGGTTGTTAACTAAACCTACGTATAAATTGAGAGTATACATTATGAATTTCTACTTTTGTAACACAATGAAATTTTCTACTTACCAAGTTTATTTGCTTACTCATAGGAATTAAAACAAAGCTATGTAGGTGTGGTTGAGATAGAATCCAAATCATTCAAGATCCTATCAATCTGTATAGAAAAAATTCTGTAGTTTATATAAACTACAGTAAAGAAGAATATTTTGTTAAAACTTAGGATAAATACTGATTTTGATAGTTATGTGTATTTACAGTCATGGTTTTCATTTTTACTTTTTATTTGTTAATCTTAGTTACTTAATATTTCAGCTGGAATGCAATGATGTGGTCTTGTTTTGGCGAATACAGCGCATGCTTGCTATCACTGCAAATACTCTACGACAACAACTTACAAATACTGAAGGTAAGCCACATAGAAACTGCTTTTTAATTTGACCTTTTTTTGAGACAGGGTCTCACTAAGTTGCTTGCAGTCTCACTAAGTTGCTAAGGCTGGCCTTGAACTTGTAGTCTTTCTGCCTCAGCCTCCTGAGCCACTGGGATTTCAGGAATGTACCATCATGCCCGGCTAACTTGACATTTTTAATAAAACAATTCCAAAATACTTCCTTAAAAAGAGATTGATTAGAAAAGCTGAAAATTATAATTTGCCCCGAAAATAGTAAAAATAAATTGTAATTCAAAAAGGTTGGGAGATAAAGCATACTGAGCATCTACCTTCTTTATGCAAAAATTGATAAATGATAAAAAAATGACTTACACTTCATGTATGGTTAATTTTATCATTCTTTGCATCATAATAACAGTGCTGCTCAAGTTTTTTATTTACTTTGAATAGTTAGGCGATTAGAGAAAAACGTTAAAGAGGTATTGGAAGATTTTGCTGAAGACAATGAGAAGAAAGTTAAATTGCTGACTGGCAAACGAGTTCAACTGGCAGAAGACCTCAGTAAGTAGATCCTCCTGCTCCCTGCCTTACCTCCTATTCCCCCTTCACCTTTTACATTGTTTTGGTTTTCCATTTAATCTAGAATTTATAGGAAAGCTAAAGTATCTATCCACAAGGAACTTTGTTTTTTTTTCTCTTGGAACTGTCAGAGTAAAAAACTGACTTAAAGTCCCATCATTTCCAAGTACTTCCTGTGTATTTCCTAGAAACAAGGATTTTCTAGCAACTACCCAAATCAGGATGCTAATACTGAGACATTACTGTATGTAATTCTCAGACTCTGTTCAAGTTTCACTTGTTGTCCCAGCATCATCCTTCCAGATAGCAAAATGTTCCAGGCTCATTCCCTAACCCAGCTTTCAGTTTTTAGAGATTTTTAGTTAGAAATCAAGATCTGAGAACTGGATAGTCTCATATTATCGAAATATCACAATTCCCAGGTATTCTCAGTGTAGAGAGTTAGAAATACTGTTGTGTTTGTGTACATCTAATCATGTATAGATGCACATCCACACATTTACATCTCAGTTTCTAGTCATCTGTCTTTATATTTAGGTTTCTCATACCACTTTGGCATTAGAGGTAAGTATGTGCTAACACAAAAAACCTGCACTCAGATCTGAACTGCGTTTATTAGCTGTATCTTAGGCAGAATCTCCCAAAGTCATGTCTCCTTTACTTATAAGATGACTGCTATCATAATGATTGTTGAGAGAATTTGTTCTGCAAGTATTTAGAAGTCCCTGGTTCATAATTTCATGCTAAATTAGTACTAGATATGTCACTGTCACAATTGTATACAATTTTTTTAATCCCTCGGGATAATTATCAAAACAGTAAAATACTTCAATGAATTTTATCAGCATATATATTTTAAGTGATTGAAAAATGATGTTTTTTCTAATATTTTATAGTAGAGCCTACATAATCCTATACCCTCTACTCCACTCCCAGTTTGATTATTTAAAGAAAGAATATTACTAACTCAAATTCTGTGTACTATCAAGCCAAGTTCTCTTGATGGTTTTTAAGGGCAAGTAGTCCTATGGCTTCATAGTGCTCCTTTTGTCCATATAAAATTATAGTGGTGTTAATGTACCAAATAATATTCGTAAGCAAGGGTTTCACCAGTGACTCAGCTTCATCATTCACTCTAAAGGAGATGAGCCATGATTTTGTTCAGTAGTTGAAAAAGAGTCTTGAAAGTATCTTCACCTTATTGTTTATCTTTGGTGTAACTCTTGGGAATATCATCATGGATGCTTTCAGTCTGAAATTTTGAGCTTAATAGCCAAGACTGTATCATACAGACCAAAGTTTCTAATACAGCATATTCATTTAAGAGGGTAGTATGTTAGCTTATAAAGTTTAGAGAAAGAGCAGCTATCAAGAATTTTCATTATAATTTCAAAATAGTGAAGAGTAGTATAATGTGAGGATGATTAAAATTTTGATGCATCATATTTTTACCAGTCTTAAGCTTACCTGGGTCTTAAATTATTTCATTGCTTCAGTGATTCATTGATTTTTACTTGAAAACGAGTCCATAAGAAGTAGTACATTGTTTCTCCTCATTCTGGAAAAGATATATTCACTATTGAAATGAAGCTAGTTAAGAAGAGCAAAGAAATGCGGAAGGAAAAAAATGTCTCAAGAAGCACAGAGACGAGGATTCATATTTAGAAATGAGAATCTCTGGAGATAGGCAGGAAGAGGACAGGATAAGTCTGCAGCATATTAGGGTTTAAAAGTAAGGAAGTGCTTGAAGGATGATGGGCACATGTCAATGGGACACAGAGGCCCTGTTGAGACTCTAACTGGCCAAACCTGGGACAATTTAGATGACAAAATAAATAATAATAACAAATCTTAATTCATCAAATGAAATAGGAATCCATAAATTGATAGTTATGTCAATAAGTGAATAAAATCAGTGGTGAGTAACAGGATGTTTTTATGATCATACAGAATATCTCCACAGAAGATACATTAAGGAAAAGAGTAACTTTATAGTGGATAAACCTGACAGTCATTACCTTAATCAAGTGGTCAAAGTTAATATCAGTAATGTTCACATCAAAACCATATGCCACCTTACAGAATGCAATGAGAAGACCCTAGCTTCACTTCCAAGATATTCTTAGTAAGGATGCATAAGTTAAATCCAGTCATAACAATATATCAGAAGAACCCAAATTAAAGTACAGTCTACATAATCTTCAGCTACTGGGACCATGAGAGAGAAGGAAAAACTGAGAATGACTAAAGACATGAAAACTTAGTAGAGTGTCTGATCCTGAACTTTTGAATTTTGTCTAAAGGACATTAATGGGACCATCAGTGAAACTTAAATGAGATCTGAGCATTTCTGGGTACTAATATGCCAGTATTAGTTTTCAAGTTTTGATTACTAATTGGAATTGTTTAGAAAAATATCCTAATTTGTAGGTAATACATAATAGAATATTTTGGAGTAATGGGACATAAAGACAGTAATGTTTCAGGAAAAAATGTTTTTGTAGTGTTCTTGCAACTTTTGTAATTCTGACATTATCTTCACACAAAGGGTTTTTTAAAAAAAAAAAAAAAAGATTTGTGATTTATAACTAATGTAAGGATCTTGGTTGAAAATGACATTTGAAAACATGACCTGAATATATCAAAAGACTGAGTTACTTCGTGGACAATTTAATAAGAATGCAACTCATCTTTGTACCTTTATTTCTTTTTCTTCAGTATCTATTTACACTTAGAACTGTCCAGTATTGAAATATATTCATTATGACCTCTGAGATTCTTTTGACTTTCTAGTAAGATTAATTTCAAAGGATTTTTTTTACAGCCTTTTAAATATAATGTCAACTTAGATGGAATCCATTTTAACTCCTAGTGTAATTTTTAGTAACATAACCAAACTATTTGTTGAAATAGACCACTTTTAAAATACCTTCTTTAGAAAGGTGAAGATTGGTATTATGGCTCAATTCAGAGTTGTTCTTTCTGTTATAGTAGATTTTGACTTATAAATTAAAATGTTTTTGATTGTCATATAAAACAAATGAATGCTAAGATTTCATAAACATATATATATATGTATATATATATTATTTTGTATATATTTGGTTATTTGGTTGTGGATGAACTCTTATTTTTTTTTATTTAGTTTTATGTGGTGGCAATAAGTGTACCCAGTGCCTCACACATGCCAGGCAAGCACTCTACCACTGAGCCACAACTCCAGCCCCAAGATTTAATAAACTTTTGTTGTAATTTGTTCTTCCCCCATCCCTCCTTTGAAACTGAGATCTGGGCACRGTAACAATGGCTCATACTGTTTGTTGCTAAGCATCCTCAGTACAACATAGAGTTCTTTTATTCTTTATTCTGTGATTATTGTATCAACTATTAATTAGGTTATTGTGAGTGTTTGGATCATTATTATAAAATTGCTTGAGACTTAGGTTTCTGTCTTTCATTCACTAAAGCCCAACTTTTACGTGGTATTCTCTGTGTAATCATTGATACCCAAAAATTAAAGAGCCATTAACATTCATTTAGATTGCTCAACTTTCAACCTGATATTTTAATACTGCACTGAACTAACTTATAGGGGAAAACTCAAACCTTTGAAAAATATAATTATACAGAATTATTCTTTTTGGGATGCTTCCATGATTAACAGTATCCTCCACAAGGTGGGTCAGAAAGACATACATTTTAGTGATGATGTCTTTCATCTTCACAGTTATTCTGTGTACTTCCCATAATTTAAAAAGCTTTCAAACTATATGAGAACTTTGATAGAACATCTAGGTAAAAGAACTCCAAAGTATATGTGAAGCCATAAACAGATTAAAGGAATTAATTTTCTTTATATGACTTATAAATGTATCTCCAAATATATTCTGTCAGATTGCACCGTAATTAAGTAGCCTTTAAGTTGCCCAAAATTCAGACAGTTTTTTAGTGTGGTTGTGTTCATATTTAGAGTCCTAAAGTCCAGTTGTGACAGATATGGAATCTTTAATTGAACAAAGTGGCCATTATTCTAAATGCAGGCTTTTTGTTGAGCTAGATTGGGAGCATTGAAATGTTTTCTAACAAGTTTCAGTGTATTACTTCATATTTAGTAATGAAATGTGTCAACAGTGATAAATTTTTTTACTTGGGTTACCATTGTACAGGCTTATTGTAATGGTATAGTTTGATATCCTTAGTGTTAAAAGCAGTATAACTAAAGAGGCTGTTAAATTAGAATTTTCCAATATCCTCAACTTCCCCCATCCTGGCAGTTAATTTGCTCTGCTGACTCCCTACGCGAGGTGGCAACAGCTGGCCTTTTTACTGGAGCTCAGAGGGATTAGAGAGAAGGAATCACAGCAGCATGCTCGGCCTCTTGCCTCTGTTGACTGTTCTTTATTGTTTGATGCCTGAGCATCTCCCAGACAGCAAGCAATTGTTTCTGGAAACTTAAAGTTTGTTTCTCTTGGGTGTATACAATGCTGTTGGGGCTCCTCTTTGTGTTTCTTCACATTCCCAGTCTCCTCTTATCCTTCATCCTATGCTTTCTCTGGATAATTAGAAAGGAGCCAAGATAGAATCTTTGTATCTTCGTCTGCATAAGATTCATTTGTGATCCTAAAACTTAAAAATACAGTCTGTAGATGGAAGATTCTTTTTTATTCTTAGCTACCAGATATTCAGTAACAAATCATTTTTATAATGAAAATGTTTTTATTCATAGTTAATATTATTTAATAATTGCATTATTAAATGTACTAGTTCATTTCTGAAGTGATGGTAAGAAGGCAGCAAAATAATCTAAAACTATCATTTTAAAAGCTGAGAAGAGGAATGTACTATAGCTACTTATACCTAAAAAGACCTTTTTGAACTCAAACATTATTCTGATTTATGGAATAGCTATAGAATATCTTTATGTCATGGTAAAACTTGAATAAAAATCAGATAGCTAAATTATCAGATAATTAGTTAGCCAG